TTATTCCCATCTTCTGACAGAAGATCACTTTGTCATATGTCTTTCTTCTTTTTAGTTTTCACACGCAACAACTGTAGATTTAGACATTTTTGTGATCTAACTGCCCCACAATCCGAAGTAATAAGGTTGATATAGTAGTCTATCAGGGTAATCAGACCAATTATTTTATTACATTTAACTTTGACTATATGTAACTGCTTTGCTTTAAATAGTAAAGTAAAACTTGTTAAACTTCTACCACAATAATACTTTATAAAGAGTTAAATCTTCATCATACATGTTTTTGTTCTTATTCTTCTGCATGCTACTCCTCTTACACCATTTTAAGCTAGAAACGCTGTTCAAACTTTAAAACGTGTGGACTTGTCTGGATTGAGTTGCTTACATTTTACTTGTTGATTTTAAACTATTCAGCTTTTTGTACTTTTTGTCCCACTTTCATGGGATTTCCTCATCATTCTAAAGCTCCCGATTGTGACATCATGACTTCAACATACAATGTAACTTTTGACAAAAATCAGCTACTTTGATCACTTTCCCAACAAGTTAGACAAAGAGTTAGGGGGTGTGACATCTTGGTCTACTTCTCTGCTATTCAAATCTGGAATCGGAACAGATATCTTGTACAGACCAAAAGATACAGCTGTTTTATTTGTTGGTAACGCTGTGTGAGAAACAAACGGTACAGCTATTTTAGTAAGCGAATCAACTGCTTTTTTCCCCCTAACTTTTTGAAACAACTGCCATTTTGACCTCTCCCACAACAAGTTAGACAAAAACGTACATTCTTCTCTGCTTTTCAAATCTGAATTCAGAACAGGAATAGCTTCTACCAACCAAGAGGTAGAGCTGTTTTAGTAACCCATCAACTGCTTTCTTTAAAGATGCAGTAAGTCATGTCAGAAGCTAGCAGATTCATTACTTACAAACAACAGCTGCAAATTCCAATAAAACTACATCACATTTTGAAGTTAACTTTCCTTGCTTTGTCTAACAACACTATCATGAATCTAGCAAGTTTTTTTGGGTCAGAGTGCAGTATTTATTTAGTTTAGTAGCAAACGTTTGTTAGCATTTTTCTCACACTGGCCTGGGAGGGAGATAATGTCTTCATAGCGAGACAAAATCCCATGTGAATCTGTTCGACCGAACAGATAGTGCGACAGCTAAAATGGCTTTGAAAAAATAAGATTTCAGGTAATAGGGAGAAGAATTTACCAAAATAACTACATTTTGGCATGACCTGGAACAATATAGAGAGGATTTATATTGCTCACTAGCTGACCATAACCACTCAACTACTGACCACAACTAACCTATAAAATTACATGCTCCCATGGTCGGTGATGCAATCAGCTGATCGGTGAGGACTTTCTTGCTGACAGCAGGTAGAGCGTTACGAACAAATAACTTTTCCAGCCACTGGTACCAGTAGTGCATGAAATGCCCCTTTGAGCATCCTACTGCAACCTGCAGAGGGCCGCGTAACACAGCAACATGAAATACACTGTACATGTCCTTGCAATTAGTGACACCCATACTACTAACCACAACCACACAACTATTGACCACTATGACTGACAACACAACTACTGAACCACAGAATTAATGACCACCACACAACTACTGACCCCCCTCTTTTACGATGCTGCTACTGCATAGTCACTTTAACTCTACCCACATGTACATATTACCTCCAATTACCTCGACTAACCGGTGTCCCCGCACATTCTCTGGACCGGTACCCCCTGTTAATTTATTTTACTGCTGCTCTTTCATTATTTGCTTTTTAAAATTATTTTTTAATTTAATTTTTTTGCTTATCTATTTTTTACTTAACTAATTTTTTTATTTTCTTAACTGCATTGTTGGTTAAGGGCTTGTAAGTAAGCATTTCACTGTAATGTCTACACCTGTTGTATTCGGCGCATGTGGCAAATAAAATGTGATTTGATCTCCATACTAACCTATTCTACATAGTTCTTCATCTACCACAAAAATACTTTTTAAAGAGCTGTCATCACTAGATGCACCATCATATTTCTCTCCCCAAATAATAGCCTACAACTTTCTAGTTATTACATCATTCAACTAAAATCAAGCTCCATTTACACTGAACGTTTCACAAAAGTAAATCGTGCATCTATTTATCTGAAACCCACTGAAACCCACAGCATGAATGATTCAGAGATATTTGCTTTCCTAAGAGTGTTGTCCACATGATCCTGCCTTTTATTCCCATCTTCTTTCTTCTTTCAGTTTTCACACGCATCAACTGTAGTTTAGACATTTTGGTGATCTAACTGCTCCACAATCCAAAGTAATAAGGTTGATATAGTAGTCTATCAAACCAATTACTTTAATAAATGTAACTTTACTATTTAAAGCAAAGCAGTTACATATTATTGGGGATTTATTATTCTCCTAAATTGATGGGATGACTAACTTAGAAAGAATGCATTCTTGACTGGGCTAATGTAGGTTGTGACACCTGGCAAGGCTGTGATTGATGTGAAGAGCTGTTTTAGGGGGTAAAATGAGATAAGGATTGTGTCTTCAAATGCTAGACTATACTGGTTCTTTGTGATCTGTGAGCCTTCCTTGGACATAGGAATGGTGTCTAAGGGAGCTGACTCTTCTCACTATGACAGGGTGTTATGATATGGACATATATGCCTGGTAACAGAGATGCATCAACGGATTGGCTGAGTAAGTTTAAACCACACTCAGTCCTCTACTCTAATTGGCCAGCAGAGAAGTGGGAAATTCCCTCTGTCAGAGTATTTGGGTATTGTTTCTGAAACAATGTTGTTAGTTCTCTGGGGTGTCCTGCGAGGCATCTCAGAGAGCCCGTATATACGAAACATCATATTTACCATTGAAGGTTTTTGCATTAATTAAAATAACTAGTATATCTTAGAAGTCATGTTGACCTCTTTTGTTCCTAATACCAGATTTGAATTGACGCGACTTTGATAATATAGTCAAAATAAAACTTGTTAAACTTTCATTTAAGAGCTAAAGCAAGCCCCACAACTTTCCTTGTAAAGCTACCATCTAGTTAACTACTGAAAACACTACCTCGATTTGAATGTAGTTCAACTACCACCAAGCTACTGCAAAATGCAGTTAAATTACTAGTTGAACAACATGTAGTTCACTACTCCCCAACACATGGGTGCACAATCCATAGGTCAGCTGTACAGTGCAATATGAATGTCCAAGACACACAATAGACTGACTGGGATGGTGATTTCCCACAGTCGAAGTCCTGCAATAAAAGCTAAGATGTTAGGATTTGTATAAACTCTACATAGTTGTGTTCTGTGGGTGTCACTGAGTAGGCTGATACCCCTATTTCATGGGTGCACAATCCATAGGTTAGGCTGTACAGTGCATACTGTATAAGTATGCCCCAAATGCAATTCTGAATTCAAATACATCCGCAGTCCGATTTCAACCGATTTTTGTATTGTTGGTCAAATTAACTAATAATTGTATTTTGTTTAATTTATATAACAATCCAGCCTTGGATTATCTAGTCCAACTGTGGCATGTTTTCACTCAGTTTCAATTGGGGACTTTTTATCGCAGATTCCACTATTGTTTCTCACGCTAATGTTGTTCACGACACACGTATCTCCACCCAGGAAGTACGGTCATAAAGCATGGTACCAGAGTGCGCCAAGAGAGATCTCTGTATATAATGACTAGATGCTCATATCTCTGCCCTAACAATGGGAGTCGTTGTCCCAAAGGCGGGAAGGCAGGCGACAAGTTTAGGTCCAAAATAAGCCCATAGAAACGCATTGCGCTTATTTTGGACAGATTTGGGCGAGAGTGAAACATCTCGCTTTGCAATTCCTCTTTGGCTTCAATGCCTTCCCACTGTGGAAAACAATGTCACTCTTTTCATGCCATTTCCCCCAGTGGCGTAGATTTTGCGCATACTGCCGCGTTCAAAATGATTTCCCGAGATGGCATTCCGAGAGTTGGATGACCGTTAAAATCGATTTTCAAGTTCCGAGTTGTTTTGAATGTGGCACGCGGTGTGGTCGGCATAGAGTAGCCTACAGGTTGGCTAGCCTAACTAAAGTAATGGATGTTACTGTTTCGTCAGGGAGCCACACAGATGAAGTAAACAAATGTAATCACTGAATTGACGTTGTTTGCTATTTAATGCAGCCACAGAATAGAAAGCTAAACAAATGATTTTGTATTCGAATTTCGCATTGTTTAAAGTTGAGAGATATCATTCACGCAAAGTAATTAGACTGGGTGTGCAAGTAAGCCTCCAAGATAATTGTAAAATTGGCCTCATGCTAGTTTAGACGAGGGACGCAAAAACCATCATACCATTTGGTAAAGCAGGGCAAGAAAGAGGGTGACGCAAAAGCAAGCCAGAGCGACAATATGCATTGCTATGGTGATTTCAGTAAACAAACAGTGCAAATCAACATCCAGTAGAAAACAACACTTTTTTGTGATAATCAGGCTGAGCAGTGAGCAAGCTAATGTGCATATTATCTGATTGCTAAATAGCGTGAACTTCCAAACCACTGTGCAATAACTGATTTATTAATTTGATATGGGAAGGTTTGTGAACCTGTGCAGCACCTTACATCAAGCTGACCCTTGTGAACAAGTGTAACAGTGTTGCTTCCGTCCCTCTCCTCGCCCCTACCTGGGCTCGAACCAGGGACCCTCTGCACACATCGACAGTCACCCTCGAAGCACCGTTACCCGTCGCTCCACAAAAGCCACGGCCCTTGCAGAGCAAGGGAAACAACTACTTCAAGATCTCAGAGCGAGTGACGTCACCGATTGAAACGCTACTAGCGCGCACCGCTAACTAGCTAACCATTTCACACCGGTTACACAAGCAGCCAAACGCTTCCCAGCACTGGATACAATATGACCACAAGAAATAAGAGCGACAACCCTTGATATTAACACTGTACATTCTTTGTTTTTCCCCCTAAAAAAGTCTGCTTCTGTACATTTTCTACATCAATCCAGGATTGCACTTTGATGCGTTTGGGCATGGCCACAATAGTCTCCAGCCCTGCCCTCTTTGTCTTACCCTTGGGGGTGGGCACTGTCTGGATGCTAGGGTCTTTCTGAACCATCATGCTCACTCTGAGCCTGGAGAATGTCCAGTTTCTGCCTGAGCTCCTGTAGGTAGTTAATGTCCTTGATCCGGCTCACATTCTCCGTGATGGATTTGAGTTAAGCCACACCCTCCCTCTGCAGTTCCTCCCTCTCCCGTGGGCCCCGTGAGACCTGTAGAGTCCCCAACGGTGTTTGTATGCTCTGTTGTTGAACCGGTGGAGTTTGAAGAGTTTGCACCAGTGGCACTGTTTCTTCAGGCCCGTCCCACTCAGAGCAAGAGACTGGGGAAGCTGGGGAGAGATCCTCCGCTGTGATGGTGTCTTGTGTGTGTGTGAATGCAGCATGAGCAGAGGGTGGTCCCTGTATTTGGGTCAAAGGCGCTCCCAGGTCCAGTTAGGCTCAGACCTGAAGACGTGACAGAAGTGTTCACAGGACAGGCGCTGGACCCTCCAAACCTCACACTCACAGGAGGGCAAGGTGGACTCTGAACTGAAGCTGACCGTGTAGGACTGCCCCAACTGCCCCGCCGCGGACTCTGCCCGACTCTTCAGCCTGAAGGTGCCGTCGGCGGCGTCGCTGGCCTGCTCCACCACAGCATCAGAGTTTTTCTGCATCGCACTGGCCGACTACTGTTTTCTTTCAGTGAATACTATTCTAAAATGGTGTTACCTTTGGTGCATCTTTGGGAAGTAGTCATCAACAACAAACTGCAGAATTTGGCTCATGGTGTCTCTTTTATGGACCTTCATGTTGTTATGTGTGAAAAAGTTGCTCTGCATCTCCAGACCACTGTTCACCACAGACACAAAGTTGACGATGTCATCCCTCACATCGCTCAACCATCTCTGAATGAACAAAAACAAAACACAAGAGCATGTTGCTAACCCTTTTGTCTGTGTTATTAGACTAGAATAGACATTATGGATATAGAGCTATCAAATTATGGATATGGATCTATAGCTAGATATTATGGCTATATAGCTAGCAAAAAATAACACTTGCTATTGTGGAGTTGTTACTTTTACAGACAGTATACATATGTGGTTGAAACATGCTGTTTGCTCCAGAATGAAAGCAAAGGTCTAATATCTGCTTTACCTCTAACCACCGTGACCTTCATTAATACTGAGGTAATGACAGAGCAGGTCCAGAACATGCCACCCTTGCCCCTGTGATGTAATTAATTGACGTGCACTACTTCTCCTCTGACAGCCGCATATGCATTGCTTGCCGTTTGTGGTTTTAGGCTGGGTTTGTGTATAAGCACTCTGTGACATCTGCTGATGTTTAAAAGTGCTTTATAAATAAATGTGATTTCATTTCACATGTTAGTGAACCAGTTCTTGAAGAGTTGTCTCTTCTCCAGCCAGATAGGGCTCTGCTGAGGTGTTCTGCTGCCTCCTGGTGTTGCACTCTGGTAATGGCTCCAGTGATGGCCTTCGTCATAATAATAATAATAATAATAAATAATAATAATATGCCATTTAGCAGACGCTTTTATCCAAAGCGACTTAGTCATGTGCGCATCAAAAAATAAATAACGTATGGGTGGTCCCGGGGATCGAACCCACTACCCTGGCGTTACAAGCGCCATGCTCTCATAGCAAATATCCCCTCCTGGTTGGTGATGGCTCGGGACCAGTTGCTCAGCCACTTGGTCCAGGTCCTCTCCCGCAGGTGATCGCTGAAGATAGCCTGAGCACCTGAGATTGGAATGAGAAATTGTCCATTATTAGCTGACTCTAACCCCCTCTTTCTGTGTGTTCATCCTCTAGTACTTAGATAATGTTATACATTGTTACAGGTTAAATATCTTTCTTAACCAACTGGTCTTATCCCCAAAATATCCTGAAACTCACAAACAGAGCCAACAGTGTGGAGAGCACATTATGAAGCTAGCTTGCTTTTCTCCGCCTTATAGCTAACATTAACACACCACCACTATTCACCTGTGAATGCGGCCTCCACTGCCTGCATCTCCACAGGGCAGTGATTGATGAGGACGTAGCCAGGGCTCCAACCCCGGTTCCACTGCCTGAACACCCCCAGCGCTTACCCCAGGGCCTCGGCGCTCTTTGACTACACCATGAACAGGCCTATGGGCGCTATGCTCACTTTGGTGTGTACGCACAGGAAAAAGAGCGGCAGGGTGAGGCGCCTTCTCCAGGAAGCACACCTCCTTGCCATACTGCCGGAGCAGCCGCCGCTGCCAGTCTGTCTGGTAGCACAGCAACAGGTTCTCACTCTTCGATTGAACCCTAAGCAGGAAGTTGGTTCTAGGAGCTTCCGCTTTCCAATTCTTAGCCAGTGTCTGAGGGGGAAGACAGAGTAAAACCAAGGTTGGGGTCACAGAGCTGTGAATCATAATAGCTGTAAACAAAAAGTGCTAAACTCTGTTTTGCTCCAGTGTGATGTCACAGTGTGTACCAACCTTTACCTCTGCTATAGCATGTCACTCTGTCTTATTCTATACTACAGCTGTGATATTCCCATGGCCTTAAACTACCCCAAATTTGAATGATGTGTCACATGGAGTAATATTTATCTGTGTTCTGTTACATCACACAAAGTCCTTGGCTATGTTTGCAAAATGTTCCACTGAGGACACCTGTTAAAGTTCACCATGACCAGTGTGTATATAAAGCAGGGGACTGAGCCTAACAGACTACATACATTCTGAAAATGCATTGTTTCAGAATGAGGGGTGCTATAGCTCTGATGGTGTTGCTGTTCTGTTTGTCTGGAGTATGGGCTCAGGGAGAGAGTTGTGGGGTCTGACATAATTACATCACTCAACAGGGTCACAGGACTGAAGCTACAGACAAACCAACCTGATGTCTGGGCTGAGCTGAGAGCGTTGAGAGATATGATGGTGAAGCAGAGAATGAAGCTGATGTACATGGAGGCCAGAATGACAGCCAGTGAGAGCCAGGTGGGCGAACTGAAGAGTGAGAACAACGTTTTAGCCAGACAGGTGGCCAGTGAGAGAGAGGCGAGAGGAGCTGAGCATCACCAATACTGAACTGCAGAGCCACAAGAACACGATCGATGGATTGAAGAAAGAGAACAAAGCCTTAATGGCTGCCGTTGAGAAGCAAAACAAAGCAAAACAAAGATCAAGAGGCAGAGTTGTCTGCCATGGGGGCCAGACTGAGTGCCAGTGAGAGAGGTGAAGGAACTGAAGAGAGTGAACGCGGACTGACCAAAGATGGCCTTCTCTTTTGCTTTAGGTAGAACCGTGGGACTACACCAATGTCATCACTAACATTGGCAATGCCTACAACCCTGTTACAGGGGCCTTCACAGCACCAGTAAGAGGAGTCTAACACATGAAATGAATTGGCATGGACAACTGCAAAAACGTAGGCGTTGGTGTATATTTACTGAAGAGTGGCCAGCTTCTACTTTTGACAAGTAATCACAATCACAATGGAAGCAATAATTACAGTTGAAGTCGGAAGTTAACATACACCTTAGCCAAATACATTTAAACTCTGTTTTTCACAATTCCTGATATCCTAGTAATGATTCCCTGTCTTAGGTCAGTTAGGATCACCACTTTATTTTAAGAATGTGAAATGTCTGAATAATAGTAGAGAGAATTATTTATTTCAGCTTTTATTTCTTTCATCACATTCCCAGTGGGTCAGAAGTGTACTCAATTAGTATTTGGTAGCATTGCCTTTAAATTGTTTAACTTGGGTCAAACGTTTCAGGTAGCCTTCCACAAGCTTCCCACAATAAGTTGGGTGAATTTTGGCCCATTCCTCCTGACAGAACTGGTGTAACTGAGTCAGGTTTGTAGGCCTCCTTGCTCGCACACTTTTTCAGTTCTGCCCACACATTTTCTATAGGATTGAGGTCAGGGCTTTGTGATTGCCACTCCAATACCTTGACTTTGTTGTCCTTAAGCCAATTTGCCACAACTTTGGAAGTATGCTTGGGGTCATTGTCCATTTGGAAGACCCATTTGCGACCAAGCTTTAACTTCCTGACTGATGTCTTGAGATGTTGCTTCAATATATCCACATAATTTTCCTTCCTCATGATGCCATCTATTTTGTGAAGTGCACCAGTCCCTCCTGCAGCAAAGCACCCCCACAGCATGATGCTGCCACCCCGTGCTTCACGGTTGGGATGGTGTTCTTCGGCTTGCAAGCAACCCCCTTTTTCCTCCAAACATAACAATGGTCATTATGGCCAAACAGTTCTATTTTTGTTTCATCAGACCAGAGGACATTTCTCCAAAAAGTATGATCTTTGTCCCCATGTGCAGTTGCAAACCGTAGTTTTGCTTTTTTATGGTGGTTTTGGAGCAGTGGCTTCTTCCTTGCTGAGCGGCCTTTCAGGGTATGTCGATATAGGACTTGTTTTACTGTGGATATAGATACATTTGTACCTGTCTCCTCCAGCATCTTCACAAGGTTCTTTGCTGTTGTTCTGGGATTGATTTGCACCAAAGTACGTTCATCTCTAGGAGACAGAACGCGTCTACTTCCTGAGTGGTATGACGGCTGCGTGGTCCCATGGTGTTTATACTTGCGTACTATTGTTTGTACAGATGAACGTGGTACCTTCAGGCGTTTAGAAATTGCTCCCAAGGATGAACCAGACTTGTGGAGGTCTACAATGTTTTTTCTGAGGTCTTGGCTGATTTCTTTTGATTTTCCCATGATGTCAAGCAAAGAGGCACTGAGTTTGAAGGTAGGCCTTGAAATACATCCGTAGGTACACCTCCAATTGACTCAAATTATGTCAATTAGCCTATCAGAAGCTTCTAAAGCCATGACATAATTTTCTGGAATTTTCCAAGCTGTTTAAAGGCACCGTCAACTTAGTGTATGTAAACTTCTGACCCACTGGAATTGTGATAAAGTGAATTATAAGTGAAATAATCTGTCTGTAAACAATTGTTGGAAAAATTACTTGTGTCATGCACAAAGTAGATGTCCTAACCAACTTGCCAAAACTATAGTTTGTTAACAAGACATTTGTGGAGTGGTTGAAAAACAAGTTTTAATGACTCCAACCTAAGTGTATGTAAACTTCCGACTTCAACAGTATGTGTCCAATTCAGTGGCTCTGTTGCTAGAGAAAGGAGATGTGGTCTCCACGCGTCTATGGAATGACTTCAGGCTCTGGGATGATGGCAACAAACATAGCATAGTCAGTTGCTTCATGCTCTTCCCTATGTGAGGAGAACACAACAAAGCTGTTGTGAATTCAGAATTCTCTTGATTCTGTGGATGTCACATTGAATTCAAACTTTGTATGTGCATTCCTGAATTGTACAATAGCGGCTTGTTGAATCTCTCTCTTTCTTATTCACAGAAACAGTCTGTGCACTAACACACAATCATCCAAACTTAAAGCTACAGTCTGGAACTTGGTAAGCTATTCAATGGTCATTTCAATTATTGATATTTACCCATTGATTTAGAATAATATAACGTTTTAAATGCCTCATGAGCTTAGCAAAACTGTCTGTCTTTATCCTGACCAGAAATATAAGGTTTTAGTACTGTTACCATTAGTACTATTTTGCTCTTGCTTGATTTTGGGCATCAGGAAACTGAGCAATTTATACTAGAAACTTGACTGTTGACATGCACAATGTTTTGGGACTCTATTAAAAGTAGACTAAGGAATAATATATATATATTAGTACCAGTCAAAAGTTTGGACACACCTACTCATTCAAGTGATTTTCTTTATTTTGACTATTTTCTACACTGTAGAGTAATAGTGAATACATAAAAATGATGAAATAACACATATGGAATCATTTAGTAACCAAAAAAGTGTTAAACAAATCAAATATGTTTTATATTTGAGATTCTTCAAAGTAGCCACCCTTTGCCTTGATGACAGCTTTGCACACTCTTGGCATTCCCTCAACCAGCTTCATGAGGTAGTCAACTGGAATGCATTTCAATTAACATGTGTGCCTTGTTAAAAGTGCATTTGTGGAATTTCTTTATTTCTTAATGCGTTTGAGCCAATCAGTTGTGTTGTGACAAGGTAGGGGTGGTATACAGAAGATAGCCCTATTTGGTAAAATACCATTACCAGCCTCAGAAAACCTGTTTTTGTTTGTCATTATGGGGTATTGTGTGTAGATTGATGAGGAAAAAAAACAATTGAACCCATTTTAGAATAAGGCTGTAACGTAACAGAATGTGGAAAAAGTCAAGGGGTCTGAATACTTTCCGAATGCACTGTATAATAATGCCGCCTTCAAAACAACTCAGAGATCTCTGCCTTCAGTGTGGTCAAGCAAAACTCTGTAGCTCAGCTGGTAGAGCACGGCGCTTGTAACGCCAAGGTAGTGGGTTCGATCCCCGGGACCACCCATACACAAAAATGTATGCACGCATGACTGTAAGTCGCTTTGGATAAAAGCGTCTGCTAAATGGCATATTATTATTATTATTATTATTTATATAAAACGATCTCAGACTGGGAAAAATCAATTTGAACAGTCATCCAACTCAGAATTCCATGTCGGGAACTCTGGCCTCTTTCTAGAGCTCCGACTTTCCAACCTGAAGATCACTGATGTCATGATTTGACCTTGTTTTTTTCAGAGTACCCAGTTGTCTTGAAAGCACCATAAGAATGGTTTCGAAGAGAAGACTCTTATTATAGATCAGTGAGAGAAGCCTATCCACCAGGTGGAGAGACATGCAACCCCGAAGGAAAAAGGAGAAGCATAGCGAGCCCAGAGATAGTCAGACTTGTAAATTGGGCTAAGGAACAGGTGGCTGTTAGAGAAACGGCATCGGTGTGTGCTCTGCAAGCAATACAGTAGATGAAGGCTTGGCAAGAGTGTGGTGAATGGATAGACGTGGTTAAGGACAGCGAGGAAGAAGGAGAAGAGCAGAGTGCAGTGGGAAGATGTGTGTTGAGGAAGAATGGCGTCAAGTACAAATTGTGTTCTGCGGTCTCTGATGGTGCAGAAATTGAACCTGATGAGAGTGAGGATGAATTACCTGTGGTGGAAGGTGTGGTGAAGACCTCTGAGTCCGAGCTTCGCCGCGATGGTCATGCAAAGGATGATTCGGGCCCAGTGGGAGTGACATTTTTGAAGAAAGTGGATCCCTGTCTTTTGGCTGATCCATATGTAGTCTCAGGCTGTGTAGAAAATAAGTTGGGGACTGTTAAATCGGTGAAGGTAGCTCGAAGTGGACTTCTGATGATTTTCATTGTTTCTTCCGTCCCGAGGGAGCGGGCGCATCACGTCACGTGACTGGGGACAAGACCTGTGACTTGCTTTGCACTCCAGAGCATGGTGTCTTTTTATAAGGAATGATTACTGGGGTGGCGTTAAGTGTTGAGGTGGACTGAAATTGAAAATTCCCTGTGTCTGACGAACACTATTTTGGTGCGACGCAGACCCGGTGGCGAGCGTGGTGAAACTGAGAAGACATTGTCTGTCCTTTTGAGTTTTTAAGCAGTCTTTACCTGATAAAGTCATGTTAGGATATGTCAGTTATTCAGTGAGAGCTTTTGTGCCGAACCCACTAAGGTGTTCAGATGCCAAGCTTATAATTATGTTGCAGCAGTGTGTAGGAGGGAGATTCCAAGATGTGAGAAGTGTGCAGGAAGGCATGGGACAAAGGAATGTGTAGGATCAGTGGAAAAAACTGTGTCAATTGTGGGGGTGCCCATGTTGCTGGGGATCAGAAGTGCCCGGTGCAAGAGAGACAGGTTGAGGTTGCCAGGGTCAGAATAGAACAGAAGGTGTGGTATGCTGAGGCAGTGAAGAGACAATATGAGTTTACACCAATCCTACAACTACTACTGCACTGGTCACACTCAAACAGAAAAGGCTGATGCTTGCAATTCATTTTTATTGCGAAGTTATATGATATAGGAAAAATAAAGATCCAAAAGCCCATTTAGGTCCATGGCAAACTGCCTATCATGGACACTCCCTCTTTCTCCATGGTGTCCTCCAGTCGCTCATTAGAAGCAATGCCTTCAATCCATACAGAATGTGATCATACGGTGCTTCTGTAAAACAAACAAAAACATGTCAGGAAATTTAGTTTTTTAGTTGAAAGACATTGGATGAATGCATTCATACACATACAGTAATTCACAATGTCCAATCATGAAGCCCAGTTCTAGAGCTCCCATCCTCTCACAAGCCCAAACTCTTACCTCATCTGTTCTTCTGTGTTTTCCTCCTCCTGCCTCCCTCCCTTTCATCCTCTCCTATTGATGCTTCAACAGATAACGTGACCTCATATGCCACCGTCTGTTTTGAGGACAAAATAAACATCCAAAAGCCCATTTAGGGCCATGGCAAACTGCCTATCATAGACACTCTCCCATAGTGTCCTCTTCTCTGGAAGCAATGCTGTCAATCCATACCGAAGCTGATCATACAGCACTCCTGTAAAACAATAATCACATGAGGTCAGGAATTAGGTCAGTGAAAGACATTGGATAGATGCACTTATATCAACAGTAATACAGCTCTACAGAGAACAGGCTTTGATAGTAAGATCTTACCTAATGTACTCATCAAACTCCTCCCCTCCCTTCCTCCCTCCCTCACTCCCATCCTTTCCTATATGCTTCAGATGTTCGACATCAAATGCCATCTGTCTGGGCTGGTAGTGGCTGGAAGGAGGTGGCAATTGTTTGACGCTGCTGTGTCCGGGGTTGGTGAAAGGGTTGGTGCCGGTATCGGGGATGGAACTGGAAAAACCAGGGTTGGTGCTGGTGCTGTGGCCGGGGCTGGAAACCGTGCTGGTGCTGGGACCGGGACTAGTACTGGGACAGGAAACGGGAACCGGGAAACAGGAACCGGGAACTGGTGTTGGTGCAGGTGCTGGGTCGGATCTGGGTCTGTAGAGGGGAGGAATGACAACCTGAGGCACAAGCAGGCACACAAGGGAGTCCACGACCGTAAGGTCAGGGCTAGCACCTTCCTGAGGCCTGCTCGCTCTGTGTGAAAGTTCGATCTTTGGTCCCTCCTCCACACCTCGAGTGGTGGTCTGGTGCTGGGATTAGTGCTGGGACTGGTGCTGGATCTGCAGATGGGAGGAAGGACAACCCGAGGAGCAAGCAGGCACACAAGGAATCCCTACACCCGGAGGTTGGTGGTGGCACTGCCCTGTGGCCTGCTCGCTCCGGGTGAAGGTCCGATCTTTGGTCTCTCCTCCGTGTCTCTTCCAGTGTTCTGGTGCTGGATACCGGGAACTGGGTTGGTGCTGGGTCTGGAATTGGTGTTGGATCTATAAAGGGGAGGAAAGGCAACCTGAGGAGCAAGCAGGCACACAAGGAAGCCCTAGACCCAGAGGTCAGTGGTGGCACTCCCCGTGGCCTTCTCACCCAGGGTGAAGGGCTGGGGGTGGAGAGTGACGTGGGGCGTGGTGAAGGAGCAATGCTGCGATGAGGCTGAAGGACGGGTCTGGGATCCGGGCAGCATGGAGGGCAGTTTAGATGTTAATGTCCTTCCATCTTGCCACCCCCCCATACCGCTCTTGCCTGGTCCGGGTTTTTGTGAAAGTCTGTGACGGGGTGATCCCTGAGGAGAATGGTGATCCTCATATTCAGGGTTGTTCGGTTGGTAGACCCTGATGTTCCTCGTCTCCCACAGGACCTGCTTGACGACGCCAATGATCCTCCACTTTTGGCGGAGCTGGGTGGTGGTACATCTGCCAGGAGAACCGTTCAGGATATTCTCCGCGATAGACTCCTTTCCTCCTCTCTCATGTTTTTCCTCTTCACCCTCATACCTTGCTCTGTATAGTTTTTGTTCCCTTTCTAGTTTATTTGTTTTTCCTTTTTTTTTCTTTTTTACATACCCAGGAGCATTGATTTGTCAATTTCCTTTTTCCTTTGTCTGCACCCTTTTCTTTTGTCATCTACTCAAAATGTGTCCACGCCTCGTCCACCTCTTTCTTCTGCTTCTTCCTTGGTCTCTTCTTCACAGACTGTGGGCGAGCAGTCTCTGGCCGCTGCTCCCTCCCGTCCCTCCACACAGAGGCGTCAGATGTAGACGCTGTGACCTCGTATGCCACCACCTGTTTTGCTCTCTGTCTCTGTCGTTTTTTCTCATACAGCGCACGCCTCTCTTCTCTCTCAATCTGTGCATTCCTCTCTTCTCTCTCATACAGTTTCTCCATCTCCATCTTGAACCTGGCCTCATCGTCTTTTATTCTTTGAAGTTTGTCTCTCCTCTTATCCTCGTCTCGTATCCTTTGCCGCCTTTTCTGCTCCTCCTTCTCTTGTTCCTTTACAATCTTCAATCTCCTTTTCTCCTCCTCTTTCCTCTTTTTCTCCTCTTTTTCTTGTGCCTTTTGCTCCATCTCCAGCTTCTTCATTCTCTCCTTTTCTTTCTTTTTCTCCTCCTCCATCCTCTTTTTCTTTATCTTTTCTTCCTCTGCCCACTTTTTCTCCTCTTTTTCGTGGGCCTTTTGCTCAATATCCTGGCGCTTCATTTGTTCTTTATTTCTCTTTTTCTCCTCCTCAGGCCACTTTTTCTCCATTTTTCTCCTTCCTTTTTCTCTCCTCCTCTTCCAATTTCTGCTGCTTCTTCTCCCACTTTTTGTCCTCCTCTTCCCTGGCTTTCTCCGCCTTCCTCTCTTTTTGCTTCTCCTTTCCCATTTTTTTCAGTACCTCCTCATTTTTCTTACCCTTGTCCTTGAAATATTTTATCCTCTCTGTGTAGCTCATGGCATTAAGTTCTTCTTTCCCTAGGCTCGCCATCATAGGCATTGCATTTACGGTAGCATATCCATCTTCCATCTTAAGATGACTAGTCATCTCTTTTCTCTCCCTCTCACCATAAGCATCCCTGTGTATACATCTCTGCTGTTCATCACTCATGCTCTCACTTTCACTACTGACCTCCTCACTTTTGTCCTCAGTCTGAGATGAATCATCCTCAGACGAGCATGAGGGGGACACAGCCTTCTCAGTGGTGATACGGAGTCCTATGATGTAGTCAGCTTCTGAGTTCATCCTGTGAGCGAGCGGGCACAGCTCCTCGTAAATGGAGCTTCGCAAGAGTGAATCCTCACGAACGTTGTCAGGCAGGTATAGGTCAGATGATTGCCTGTTGACCACATTCACAACCTCTGCCAGGTCCTGCTGTGTGGCGCCCTGAGTGTCCTCTCGGAAGGTCGTTGGTGTGGCATTTGTGGTGGCCTTTGGGCTGGCCGGGCACTCGGGGGCTGTGGCAGGGGTCTTGGATTGTCCAGCAGATGAGGAGGAGGCCTCAGTGTCATTGTCCATTATATTCCCTTTTCTTAAGAATCTCTTCCTTTCTCTTTTGGGCCATCCTCTCTTTCAGCTGTGCTTTATACATATTCGCAATTTCTGCACCTCTCCGCTGAACTTCCTTAGACAATTCCTCAGATGATGCAATCTCTGGCCTTTTGACCTCATCCTTGACCTTTGCCTGGCCAGTCAATGGTGACCTGGGGTGGACAGGCAGATGTGGCTGCCTCAGCTTAGCAGGAGGGCCGGGAGTCAGGAGGTGGGATGGGACAGCAAATTGGTGTGAAGCGTGCGGGCGGGACATCTTGGATGGAGTATGAGGCCGTTTGTCAGGGGAGGTGCAGCTCTGTGTGCCCAGAGGGGAAAATATGCAGTGTTTCTTAGCCGGGTCCATCTGGGTGGCGGAAGCATGCTGGTCAGGTTCCAATTGGCTGTTGGCGAGGTACCTGTGGAGGTTGTACCTAGGGAGAGCTGGCAGTGTCGGGGAGATGCGCCGAAGAATGGAGGAGGTGGAGCGCTGCTTGATCAGTCCTTTATCCACCCCACTCTGTATGATGACAGACACATTTCTATTACTTAATAGCTTGATGGTCCATGTTATTACTATCTTAAAACAATTCTATGTGTATGGGTAGTAAATCTCATAGAGAAAACACATTATATTACTGTATCTCTGCCTATTAGAAAAATGTTAAGGGCCACACTTGGAATAAAGGTGAAAAATATAATAATTTTCCATTCTTTTTCAACTCTATTCCAAGAATGCGGACCTTCCTAAGATTATTACCAGTGTGCAGTTTTTCTTTCTTTATTATTCTAACTATTTACATCTTATTTCCATGTATCAGGATTGGGCAAAGCAACTATCTACTGATATGAAAGTCTGATTTAAGAAAACTGCTGTTGTTACCTCCTCCAACAACTCGTGCAGCCTAAATATTTCTCCATACAGCGCCTTAATCTCCCTCATGTTTCCTCGCTCAGTTCTCCATGTCTCTCTAGCCAATCGCCAATGGGCAAGCTCAAGATCATGGATATCCTCCCGCATGCCTAGTTCAACCTGGGTCCCCTTCTCATTGGATTATTATGTGCTTTCCATTGGATTCCATTGATATAAAGTATCAAGAAAGTATGATGTTGACACTATATCAAGCCATAGTTAGTACAATACATTTTACACTGATTGACCATGAATTGTTAGTTTGGACCACTTTAGAAGAGGAAGTCATATATTTAGCATACAGATTGGGCCTTACAGTGAGGCTGGGGAGTTCTGAGGAGTTGTGAGGCTGGGGTGTTGTGAGCCTGGGGAGTTTGGGAATCGTCCTGTGCAGTCTGATTTCCCCATGGCTAGAAAAATGAAAATAATGACAAACATGCAGTCAGTAATGAGGGGAGTAGAGGTTATCATGATACAAGCTTGTTATTTTCAATCTTAGAAAAGCTCAAAATGATGTAAAAATTATGATTTTGACTTTATGAAGGTGGTGAGAAAGAAATGGGATTCTAACCATTCTTATGACGAGCCTTGGGAAGGAGAACTTTCCCAAAGTTCCCTAAATTACTGTAATCCTGAAAAAGATCCACTATGGCTTAAAAATCTTCTTACATTATTTAAATAATCTCAATTAAATTGTTCCACTAAATAAGCCTGCTTGCACTAAATCAGTGGTCACAACTACTTACCACTAAGCACTTCAAAATAACCATCCAAAATATAGCAATGATTTTGACCCTATATTGAACTTGTAAGTGACAAGTTACAAGTGTTGCCGTAATGTGACAGTAATGCTATGGCCAACCATTTAGGCTGTCAACAGTTGTTTATGACATCACGATTCTGATGTAATGTGATGCTATGGGAGACCACACCCTTTAGGCTGTCAACACAGTTGTTTATGACATCACGATTCTGATGTAATGTGATGCTATGGGAGACCACACCCACCCTGACAGACAACCAATCACCAGACATGAGCCATATAGGCCTATTTTCAATTACCAACCCCAGTTAAAGGAAAACTCCACCCAAAAACTATATTTTGTTACCTTTTGGTATTTGTTTCATTAGTCCATTGCAAAACGCAGCATCATATGATGCAAAATGCATCATACAGGTCAGATTTCTGTATTTTGAAAGTTAAACATCTTGAGAACTTGATTGCTGACGTGCAAAACATTTTGGGACTATATCAACAATGGACTAATGAAACAAATACCAAAATATAGTTTTGGAGTGGAGTTTTCCTTTAACTTGAAATACAATATATTTTGTAGTAGTAAGCTCATATACATAATGAAAACCATACGGTAACAATGTGTATAACTGCACAGCTACTGTCAATGATACTGTACATCATGAATTGGTATCCTCTGCTGGCCAGAATGTCTCTTGGACTATGTCCTAAAATGGCACCCTATTCTCTACATAGTGTACTACTTTTGACCAGGACCGATAGGACTTTGTAAAAATCAAATCAATAGAGGTCCTGGATGGCAGGAAGCTTGGCCCCAGTGATGTACTGGGCCGTACGCACTACCCTCTGTAGTGCCTTGAAGTCGGAGGCCGAGCAGTTGCCATACCAGGCGGTGATGCAACCAGTCAGGATGCTCTCGTCCACACAATCAGTTTAGCCTTGATATTAAATCATTTTAGCTAAGTGGAAATTAAGAAAAGTCTATAGAAATTATGGGACAATTGCAATTAGAAAGAAAAATGTATTCATAAGAACAAAATCTAGGCACCTTATTGTAATTTCAATGAGGATTCATTCCAGTTGTCAATGGTATACATTGTAAGCTAAAAAAAAGTTACTCTTCAGGATGCAGGCAGAGTTTTGAAAAACCGTCTCTGAGGCAGGTGGTTTTTGTCACTCATTATCATTGTGAGGTCATATGGGGGACACCTGGCGCGTTCAAACCAACTGGAAACTGGGAACTGGAAAACCTCCGACTTCAGTGCATTCAAGACAACTGGGAAAAAACGAGCTCTGACTTTCCAACCTGAAGAAGTCATGATTTGACCTCGTATTTTTCAGTTCCCAGTTGTTTTTAAAGCACAAACCTAGCAGATAAACAATATACCTAAGCAATAGAACATGATTATAAAAACTGAATGGTGGCCAATTGAATGTATAATGGCAACATTACAGCATTAACACACTTATTTAATGAGTTTCAAATTAGGACTCTTATTTTGACGTTTTAACAAACTTTAGTTTTGCCCCAGGAAGTGCTTGGCCGTGTTCTCGCGTATTTACAAATGTGAACGGGAACAGATTATTGTTTTGGAAGGTGGTTTACTAGCAAAAAAAGCGTGCTGTTTTTCGAAAATTGACCCGACATGACTGCTACCAGACCGCTCGAGATGGAGCGGCCAAGACACCATCCGTTTCTGATCGGTGTTAGCGGAGGAACTGCCAGTGGCAAGGTAGGTAACGTTAAAAAACGGAAAAACTAAAAATAGCTAACGTTAGCTAGCTACATAATAATAGCTATCTAGCTAGTTAGCTAGGTCGTTTCAACAATCAGTAAAGTAGCTAGCTAACGTTAGCTATTTTTAGTTTTTCCCCATGAACTGACAGCAGACACGCATGTCAGGATGTCTCTTGTTTTGTCTTGTTTTCTGTCTGTCTGACCATTTTGAAATGTGCCAGCTACTCCACTCTGCTATGGCTATGCTCCAACCTTATAATCAAACTGAAATTAAGTTTTTTAATTTTTAGTCAACAGTATGTGCCAAAATCATGGAGTTGCTGGGCCAGAACAAGGTGGACCATCGTCAGAGGAAAGTGGCCATCATCAGCCAAGACAGCTTCTACAAAGTCTTGACACCTGACCAGAAGGCCAAGGCACTCAAGGGCCAGTACAACTTTGACCACCCAGGTACTACATGCCTGTATGGATATTGTAATAACATAAGTATAATCGTTGCAATAACATAAGCTCTCTCTCTATCACCCACTAGCTGTATAAGGCCATAAGCAGACAGGAAAACGCTCATCCAGAGGCAGCGCTCCTAGTGGCCGGGGACTTTAATGCAGGGAAACTTAAATCTGTTCTACCTAATTTCTATCAGCATGTTAAATGTGCAACCAGAGGAAAAAAAACTCTAGACCACCTTTACTCCACACACAGAGATACATACAAAGCTCTCCCTCGCCCTCCATTTGGCAAATCTGACCATAATTCTATCCTCCTGATTCCTGCTTATAAGCAAAAACTAAAGTAGGAAGCACCAGTGACTCGGTTAATAAAAAAAGTGGTCAGATGACGCAGATGCTAAGCTACAGGAATGTTTTGCTAGCACAGACTGGAATATGTTCCGGGATTCTTCAGATAGCATTGAGGAGTACACCACATCAGTCACTGGCTTCATCAATAAGTGCATAGATGACGTCGTCCCCACAGTGACCGTACGTACATACCCCAACCAGAAGCCATGGATTACAGGCAACATCCGCACTGAGCTAAAGGGTAGAGCTGCCGCTTTCAAAGAGCGGGACTCTAACCCGGAAGCTTATAAGAAATCCCGCTATGCCCTCCGACGAACCATCAAACAGGCAAAGAGTCAATACAGGACTAAGATTGAATCGTACTACACCGGCTCTGACGCTCGTCAGATGTGGCAGGGCTTCAAAACTATTACAGACTACAAAGGGAAGCACAGCCGCGAACTGCCCAGTGACACAAGCCTACCAGACGAGCTAAATCACTTCTATGCTCGCTTCGAGGCAAGCAACACTGAAGCATGCATGAGAGCATCAGCTGTTCCGGATGACTATGTGATCACACTCTCCGTAGCCGATGTGAGTAAGACTTTTAAGCAGGTCAACATTCACAAGGCTGCAGGGCCAGACGGATTACCAGGACGTGTACTCTGAGCATGTGCTGACCAACTGGCAAGTGTCTTCACTGACATTTTCAACATGTCCCTGACTGAGTCTGTAATACCAACATGTTTCAAGCAGACCACCATAGTCCCTGTGCCCAAGGACACTAAGATAACCTGCCTAAATGACTACTGACTCGTAACACTCACGTCTGTAGCCATGAAGTGCTTTGAAAGGCTGTTCATGGCTCACATCAACACCATTATCCCAGAAACCCTACACCCACTCCAATTTGCATACCGCCCCAACAGTTCCACATATGATGCAATCTCTATTGCACTCCACACTGCCCTTTCCCACCTGGACAAGAGGAACACCTACGTGAGAATGCTATTCATTGACTACAGCTCAGCGTTCAACACCATAGTGCCCTCTAAGCTCGTCACTAAGCTAAGGATCCTGGACTAAACACCTCCCTCTGCAACTGGAGCCTGGACTTCCTGACGGGCCGCCCCCAGGTGGTAAGGGTAGGTAACAACACGTCTGCCACGCTGATCCTCAACACGGGGCCCCTCAGGGGTGCGTGCTCAGTCCCCTCCTGTACTCCCTGTTCACCCATGACTGCATGGTCAGGCACGACTCCAACACCATCATTAAGTTTGCCGACGACACAACAGTGGTAGGCCTGATCACCGACAACGATGAGACAGCCTATAGGGAGGAGGTCAGAGACCTGGCCGTGTGGTGCCAGGATAACAACCTCTCCCTCAATGTGATCAAGACAAAGGAGATGATTGTGGACTACAGGAAAAAAAAGAGGACTGAGCACGCACCCATTCTCATCGACGGGGCTGTAGTGGAACAGGTTGAGAGCTTCAAGTTCCTTGGTGTCCACATCACCAACAAACTATCATGGTCCAAACACACCAAGACAGTCGTGAAGAGGGTACGACAAAACCTATTCCCCCTCAGGACACTGTTAAGATTTGGCATGGGTCCTTAGATCCTCAAAATGTTCTGCACCATCGAGAGCATCCTGACTGGTTGCATCACCGCCTGGTATGGCAACTGCTCAGTCTCCGACCACAAGGCACTACAGAGGGTAGTGTGTACGGCCCAGTACATCACTGGGGTCATGCTTCCTGCCATCCAGGACCTCTATACCAGGCAGTGTCAGAGGAAGGCCCTAAAAATTGTCAAAGACTCAAGCCACCCTAGTCATAGACTGTTCTCTCTGCTACCGCACGGCAAGCGGTACCGGAGCGCTTAGTCTAGGTCCAAAAGGCTTCTCAACAGCTTCTACCCCCAAGCCATAAGACTCCTGAACAGCTAATCATGGCTACCCGGACTATTTGCACTTTTTTATTTTACATTTTTCTTTAAAAAACTGCATTGTTGGTTAAGGGCTTGTAAGTAATTTCACTGTAATGTCTATTATTCGGCGCATGTGGCAAATAAAATGTGATTTGATTTGAGATTACATGAATTCAATTCATTAAGGCATTTACATCAAACACTGGAAAATGTTATTCTAACTGTAGCCACGATGGGAACACTGTAGTTTAACTTAAGTGATCATTATTATTATGAACATAAAACAAATGCATATCTGGATGGAAAAAGTGAATAACCTCAATGTTTATTACAGATGCTTTCGACAACGAGTTGATGTACCAAACCCTGAAGGATATTGTGGAGGGGAGAGTGGTGGAGGTGCCGACATATGACTTTGTCACGCATTCGAGGTGAGGCAAACATTCCATATGGAAACATACCACTTGAGTTGGATATGCCCTTCTTGAACTAAGACATGACCTTTGACCTAAGACGTGTCTAACCCAGCTCATCTGCAAACACATTGAACAAAAATATAAACGCAACATGTAAAGTGTTGGTCCCATGTTTCATGAGCAGAAATAAAAGACCCCAGAAATTTTCCATTTGCTCAAATAGCTTATTTATCTCAAATGTTGTGCACAAATTGGTTTACATCCCTGTTAGTGAGAATGTATCCTTTGTCCAGATAATCCATCCACCTGACAGGTGTGGCATATCAAGCAGCTGATTAAACAGCATGATCATTACACAAGTGCACCTTGTGCTGGGGACAATAAAAGGCCACTCTAAAATGTGCAGTTTTGTCACACAACACAAGGCCACAGATTCCTGAATACAGGAATGTCCACCAGAGCTGTTGCCAGATAATTTAATGTTAATTTCTCTACCATATGACGCCTCCAACATCGTTTTAGAGAATTTGGCAGTACGTCCAACTGGCCTCACAACCGCAGACCACGTGTATGGCGTTGTGTGGGCGAGCGGTTTGCTGATGTCAACATTGTGAACAGAGTGCCCCATGGTGGCGGTGGGGTTATGGTATGGGCAGGCATAAGCTACGGACAACGAACACAATTGCATTTTATCGATGGCAATTTGAATGCACAGAGATACCGTGTCGAGATCCTGAGGCCCATTTTCGTGCTATTCATCTGCCGCCATCACTTCATGTTTCAGCATAATGCACGGCCCATTTCGCAAGGATCTGTACACAGTTCCTGGAAGCTGAAAATGTCCCAGTTCTTCCATGGCCTGTATACCCATTGAGCATGTTTGGGATGCTCTGGATCGACAGCGTGTTCCAGTTCCCGCCAATATCCAACAACTTCGCACAGCCATTGAAGAGTGGAACAACATTCCACATGCCACAATCAACAGCCTGATCAACTCTATGCGAAGGAGATGTCACGCTGCATGAGTCATATGGTGGTCACACCAGATACGGACTGGTTTTCCGGTCCACGCCCCTACCTTTATTTAAAGGTATCTGTGACCAACGGCTGAATATCTGTAATCCCAGTCATGTGAAATCCATAGATTAGGGCCTAATGAATTTATTTCAATTGACTGATTTCCTTATATCAACTGTGTGTGACTCTTTGAAATTGTTGCATTTATATTTTTGTTCAGTATACATACCAATCATGCATGCATTCATGTGAAAGTTAGTCGGTGTATAGATTGCCTCTTTGTGTGTACTAAATGTGTTGCTTAGTTTGTGTGTGTGTGTGGTCCAGGCTGCAGGACAGGATAACGGTGTACCCGGCTGACGTGGTTCTGTTTGAGGGGATCCTGGTCTTCTACTCTCAGGAAGTGAGGGATATGTTTCACATGAAGCTCTTTGTGGACACGGACTCTGATGTCAGGCTGTCTCGCAGAGGTACTACTGACACACAAAATAAGGGGATGTATACTCATTTTCACTAGCGTCTTTGATATACGGACTTGTCACGTCTTGGTCCTGATCTGGCTGTTGTGGTTTTTACCTTTAGTTCTGCGGGACATGAAGAGAGGCAGAGACCTGGAGCAAATCCTCACCCAATACACGATGTTCGTCAAGCCAGCCTTCGAGGAGTTCTGTTTGCCTGTAAATGTCCAGCGCTGCCACACTCACAATACACTATTGATAATACATAAACAAATAATGGACATGTTAATTCGTTTTTAATAGGCCTAATTATGGACACAAAAGATGACACATTTAACACATTGTCAGCTGATTTACATCAGTGAGACGTTTAAATGTGACTCAATTATATTCTGCTCCAAATCCAGTCTTTTCAGAGCATTAGCTACCAAAATGAGATTGATAATTGTCCTTTTTTCCCAGACCAAGAAATATGCAGACGTCATTATTCCTCGAGGAGTTGACAACATGGGTAATAATAACACTCTTACGGGGGGCCAGTATGAAAAATGTATGCACTCACTAATTGTAAGTCGCTCTGGATAAGAGCGTCTGCTAAATTACTAAAATGTCAAATTAATCATGAAGACTCTCCATCCCTTCCCTCTCGTATTGAGCTGACTCTCTTTCTCTCCTCAGTGGCCATCAACCTCATTGTGCAGCACATCCAGGACATCCTGAATGGGGACCTCTGTAAGTGGCACCGTGGAGGAGCGGTCAACGGGCACAGCCGTGGCTTCAAGCGGGCCATCTCGGAGCAGGGGGACCTGGCCAACGGCACCTCCAACTTCCCCCCGGGGAAGAGGGTCCTACTGGAGCCCAGCAGTCGCCCCCACTGAGACAAAAATCTGTCAGTCTGTCTACTATATACAGTGGGGAAAAAAAGTATTTAGTTAGCCACCAATTGTGCAAGTTCTCCCACTTAAAAAGATGAGAGAGGCCTGTAATTTTCATCATAGGTACACGTCAACTATGACAGACAAAATGAGAAAGAAAAATCCAGAAAATCACATTGTAGGATTTTTAATGAATTTATTTGCAGATTATGGTAGAAAATAAGTATTTGGTCACCTACAAACAAGCAAGATTTCTGGCTCTCACAGACCTGTAACTTCTTCTTTAAGAGGCTCCTCTGTCCTCCACTCGTTACCTGTATTAATGGCACCTGTTTGAACTTGTTATCAGTATAAAAGACACCTGTCCACAACCTCAAACAGTCACACTCCAAACTCCACTATGGCCAAGACCAAAGAGCTGTCAAAGGACACCAGAAACAACATTGTAGACCTGCATCAGGCTGGGAAGACTGAATCTGCAATAGGTAAGCAGCTTGGTTTGAAGAAATCAACTGTGGGAGCAATTATTAGGAAATGGAAGACATACAAGACCACTGATAATCTCCCTCGATCTGGGGCTCCACGCAAGATCTCACCCCGTGGGGTCAAAATGATCACAAAAACGGTGAGCAAAAATCCCAGAACCACACGGGGGGACCTAGTGAATGACCTGCAGAGAGCTGGGACCAAAGTAACAAAGCCTACCATCAGTAACACACTACGCCGCCAGGGACTCAAATCCTGCAGTGCCAGACGTGTCCCCCTGCTTAAGCCAGTACATGTTCAGGCCCGTCTGAAGTTTGCTAGAGTGCATTTGGATGATCCAGAAGAGGATTGGGAGAATGTCATATGGTCAGATGAAACCAAAATAGAACTTCTTGGTAAAAACTCAACTCGTCGTGTTTGGAGGACAAAGAATGCCGAGTTGCATCCAAAGAACACCATACCTACTGTGAAGCATGGGGGTGGAAACATCATGCTTTGGGGCTGTTTTTCTGCAAAGGGACCAGGACGACTGATCCGTGTAAAGGAAAGAATGGGGCCATGTATCGTGAGATTTTGAGTGAAAACCTCCTTCCATCAGCAAGGGCATTGAAGATGAAACGTGGCTGGGTCTTTCAGCATGACAATGATCCCAAACACACCGCCCGGGCAACGAAGGAGTAGCTTCGTAAGAAGCATTTCAAGGTCCTGGAGTGGCCTAGCCAGTCTCCAGATCTCAACCCCATAGAAAATCTTTGGAGGGAGTTGAAAGTCCGTGTTGCCCAGCGACAGCCCCAAAACATCACTGCTCTAGAGGAAATCTGCATGGAGGAATGGGCCAAAATACCAGCAACAGTGTGTGAAAACCTTGTGAAGACTTACAGAAAACGTTTGACCTGTGTCATTGCCAACAAAGGGTATATAACAAAGTATTGAGAAACTTTTGTTATTGACCAAATACTTATTTTCCATCATAATTTGCAAAAAAAAAATCTCATTTTGTCTGTCATAGTTGACGTGTACCTATGATGAAAATTACAGGCCTCTCTCATCTTTTTAAGTGGGAGAACTTGCACAATTGGTGGCTGACTAAATACTTTTTTCCCCCACTGTATGTGTGTGCGTGTTTGTAGTATGTCCTTAGATTTTAGGGTTGATGCTTTTACTTACTAGGTCTGGGATGGGGGGACTAGATCCTGTAACTCACCCGCAGACTTCAGAGCATCCAGTCAGATAGGGAAGCCTGGAGGAGAATATGTCCAAGACACATCAATAATAATTCATTAATATATCACTGATATAGATACCGCAAGAATCACTGAAACAGTTAGAGCAATCACAGGTACATGACAACTCTTCCCTTTTTTAATTACTCAGTCTTCCATGTGTACATTTGTACCCTGCAGTGGTTCGACTACCTCTGGCTGACATGGAGTGAGAGGGCGAAATGATGGAATGAAAGCTGTTTAAAAAAAAGTTATTTAAATGTCTGTTTTGATTTTGGCTTTGTTTGCACATTGTGTTTTATTACTACCAGTTGGGTTTACACACCCAACATCAAATAATAACCAATAATGTAGTACACTTCATGTACTACCATGATTCACAGTTTTATTTAAGCTGCTTAAAATGTGTTATATTGTATCTTAACATGTGGAAATCAGATTATAATATATTATGTATTTAATGATGAATTTCATACAATATTTATCACCTTTTAATGTGTGAACTTCAGTGCTGCGTAGGCTGTTTGGAATGTGAAATATTTGCTGGATCATCCCTTGATGCAAAGGTAAATTCATGCCTTGTGAGTTTATTTTTTAAAGCATTTTCCAATGACCATGATATTTAAGAAATAAAATATGTTCACTATCAGAGGCTTGTGGTTGTTATTTTTTACCCTAACGTGCAAGCACAAGTCTCCCATTGACATCAATGCATGATAATGTAAAAGGTTCGAGTGCAGATCTGGTTGGGATTTGGCCCATAAGGAGGAAATAAGCAGCATAGTATGACAAATCTCTTCCATTTAGCAAAGAGGGTGATGCCTAGATGTATAGAAACGGAGCAGTTTTATTGGAGTTGGAGAGCAGTGATGAGTTGGATGACACGATTATTCCAAAGGAATCAGAATGAATAACTACAGCACACAATGGACTGACAAACACATCTCACCCAGACACACACACGCGTTCATGTACACACATACACACACACACACACGTACGTACACGCGCGCACACACACACACCCTCTCTTTACTGGGACACGACTGGTTGCCTGACAGTTCTCTTACTCAAAAATGGCACATGATTGAATATGACAGACATAGATCACAGCATCTATTGTAATTCTCTTTTTGTGTGTTTAGTTTTTTGCTTTCCTTTTTTGAGTGCACATTTGTATGGCACTTGGGGAGAAGCTGAACACTTCTCTTAATAGCATAATAAACAATCCTTTTTAAGAACAAAAGGAACACTGTATATAATACATCATAACCATATATGATTCATAATATTAATAATAATACACAAAATATCCCAAATACACTCTTGTTACAAGTCTAGTCCCTTTGTGGTCATCCATCTCTCCTAACCCCTCAAATTACCATTTCCAAAACCACATTCCTGCCCAGTCAAGTCTGCATTGTGACATCAGAGTTCATGGCAGAATATAGTCCGGAATACCGAGGAGGAGTTTCTCTTCCTTCCATGTTTGAGGGAAGTTAAGTCAGGGGAGGGAGCAGTATGGGCTGACCCAAGGATGGCCCACACTATGTAGGGTGAGGGAGGGAATATCTGAGGGTCTAGAGGAGCTTTCACCTCACACACTCGCTGACACACATTTACACACTAAAATGGGAGAGGACAGGGAGCAGTCTCTTCCGTTGTTCGACATCTCCACGTCCTCTCCTCATCTGAAGTCTTCCTCTTCTCTTCTCCTTGGCACCAGTCTTTCTCCTCTCTCGCCTCCCGTTGGTTAGGGATTTCTCTCCTGCCAACTGCAGTTCTGGGTGGAGAGAACCCAATGTAACCCCAATCATAAACCCCCCCCATAATCTCCCAGTGTAGCAGAGCAGCGCAGCAAAGACTCACTGTAAACCATGGCAGTCTTTTCCCCTTTACTAGCCTACTGTATATCCTCTGGCCAGGTCCAGCCCTAGTCAGTCTCTCTTCCCCTGTTAGTGAGGTCCAGCTGATTGTGTCCATACATCTGTGTCCATCTATCCTTTCTGTCCGTCTGTCTGTCTGTAGCACAGTGGAGGTCCCTGGTCTCGGGGCCACGCCGCACCGCTAACCTCCCCCCTCCTAAGTCTTCTCCTCGCGCTCCGTCCTCCGCCGGGTGATGTTGCGAGGCTTGATCTTCAGCGAGAGCTCCCACAACGCCTCCTCGGCCAGATGGTCGCTGAAGTCGTTGAAGAAGCAGACTATGTCATCGTTGCGCTTCAGCTCGTAATGCCTGCGGTGGGTGGGAAAGACAGAACAAGTCGATCAACGAGATGCCTATGTCTTTCCATGACAGACTGACCAGGTAAATTCAGGTGAAAGCTATGATCCCTTTTTGATGTCACTTGTTAAATCCAATTCAGTGTAGATGAAGGGGAGGAGACAGGATTTTTAAGCCTTGAGACAATTGAGACATGGATTGTGTATGTGTGCCATGTATGTGTGCCATCCCAGCGCTGCTGGGTTTTTCACGCTCAACAGTTTCCTGTGTGTATCAAGAATGTTCCACCACCCAAAAGACATACAGACAACTTGACACAACTGTGGGAAGCATTGGAGTCAACATGGGCCAGCATCCCTGTGGAACGCTTTTGACACCTTGTAGAGTCCATGCCCCGACAAATTGAGGCTGGGGGGGAGGTTTTAATGTACGCTGTGGATTACTGCTTACCTCTTATGGGACAATTATTGTAGTCTTATTGAATTACATTAAATATACCATATTCATCTATCGTAATGTAAGGTTACCACACTCTCAATCTGTTTGGAGATTTGTGGATGCTTTTCTCATGGCACAACAGTTCTACTCACACGTGTCCCCTCATATAAATGGGTATCAATGGGACTTCCCTGCTTACATAAAGGTTAAATAAAATAAAATACTCACACTTGCTGGAAACGCCTCATACTGTCCAGGATGTTGAACTGCTGCCAGCGCTTGGAGAAGTTGACCTTTCCGTCGATGAGGTCGGGGTTCCCCAGGTGGACAAAGGTCAGGTCCTGCAGGATCAGACCGCTGGGAAAGGAGAGGAAGAAAAGAGAGGAATGGAAGAGAGAGATTAGTTTAAATAGAGACAAACAGTCCTAGGAAGAATAGGCAAAACACACACAACCACATACACTTTCATTGAACATTACCTAGCTCAGATGCACATGTTCAGAAACAGACTTACAGGTAAGGGATGCACGGAGGCTCCACGTCGGCCAGAGCCGCCCGGTACGCTCTGAAAGACGATGAGCTGTCAATCAACGTGCAGTATTCCTCCAATCCCTGTGAGAGAACGAGAGTGTGTGTTACAATGTGTTCTACCCATTACACACCCCGATACCTGAGTATATTAAAGTGAGACATAGCAATAGAATTTAAAGACTTTAGTATGAATATCTAGTATAGTTATACCATATATCTCTATGTCAGACTTGATCCACTACTGTTTGACTCACCTCTGAAGTCTGTTTCTGCCACTCCAGTCTGCGGATGGGGGCCGAGTCCAGGGCAGACAATATTGCCAAGTATGAGTTGAAATTGTTCAACTTTCGTAAGTGCTACATGAGAAGAAGAAAAATAGGATAAGAACAGTTGTCCAGAGAGTTAATCATCAACTAGATGTATTAGTTAACCAGGCTGTGGTTGTATAAATGTCGAGGTTGATTACCTTCATGATCTTGATAAACTTGAGGAGCAGCTTCTCTCGGTCCTGGGCTTTCTCCTGCTGAATGATTAGAGAGCGCACCCTAGAGGACAAATACACAGTGTTGAGTGTGAGAGAGAATTAGAATCTGGCTAAAAATACTTGAATCAGTTATAAAACCCATTGCCCTTTATGGTTGTGAGGTCTGGGGCAGAATTAGGCCGATACCCGCTAATTATCAAAATCCAGAAAAGAGCCGTTAAATTCTACAACCACCTAAAAGGAAGCGGTTCCCAAACCTACCATAACAAAGCCATAACCTACTGAGAGATTAACCTAGAGAAGAGTCCCCTAAGCAAGCTGGTCCTGAGGCTCTGTTCACAAACACAAACAGACCCCACAGAGCCCCAGGACAGCAACACAATTAGACCCAACCAAATCATGAGAAAACAAAAATAGATTTACTTGACACATTGGAAAAAAATCACCAAAAAACGGAGCAAACTGGAATGCTATTTGGCCCTAAACAAAGAGTACACAGTGGCAGAATACCTGACCACAGTGACTGACCCATAATTAGGGAAAGCTTTGACTATGTACAGACTCAGTGAGCATAGCCTTGCTATTGAGAGAGGTCGCTGTAGGCAGACCTGGCCCACAAAATGAGGTGGAAACTGAGCTGCACTTCCAAACCTCCTGCCAAATGTATGACCATATTAGAGACACATATTTCCCTCAGATTACACAGACCCACAAAGAATTCGAAAACGAATCCAATTTTGATAAACTCCCATATCTATTGGGTGAAATACCACACTGTGCCATCACAGCAGCAAGATTTGTGACCTGTTGCCACAAGAAAAGGGCAACCAGTGAAGAACAAACACCACTGTAAATACAACCCATATTTGTTTATTTATTTTCCCTTTTGTACTTTAACTATTTGCACATCGTTATAACACTGTACATAGCCATAATATGACATTTGAAATGTCTCTATTCCTTTGAAACCTTTATGAGTGTAATGTTTACTGTTCATTTTGGATCGTTTATTTCACTTTATTAAATAATCTATTTCACTTGCTTTGGCAATGTAAACATATGTTTCCCATGCCAATAAAGCCCATTGAATCGAATTGAAAGCGAGATGGTGTGTGTGTGTGTGTGTGAGAAAGAGAAAATGTGCCATTGTGAGGTGTTGACTGGTCATTACAAAGCTAGGTGATTTATATGGTGGGAGATTGGTAATGCATAGACAGGCTATATGTTTAGGCTCAGGTCCAGCTCTCACCAGTAGCTCATGTTGTTAAAGTGCTCTGTGAACTGTGTCAGATTGGGACTCTTCTCCTCGTTCTGTTCCTTGGCCCAAAGCAACACCTCAGGAATCTATCAAAATAGACAAAGAAGGAGAGAGAAGAGATCAGTCACTGGAGCAGAATGTCAATTTCTCTGCAGTGAATGTGAAGAAAAGGTGCTCTCTGGTACCTCGATTTTGTAGAACAGTTCTGCATCCAGTAGTGTGAGCTGATCGGCAATCTCATGGCTGCGGAAGTCATGCAGCGTTCCGGGCCTGTAGTAACACACACACACATTATGTTCTTCTATCCTCGTTGGGACGGAAAATTCATTTCCATTCAAAATCCTATTTTCCCTAACCCTAAACGTTAACCCATAACCCTAACCCTTTACCCTAATTCTAACCCTAACCCTAACACCTACAGTGGGGAAAACATTTATTTAGTCAGCCACCAATTGTGCAAGTTATCCTACTTAAAAAGATGAGAGAGGCCTGTAATTTTCATCATAGGTACACGTCAACTATGACAGACAAAATGAGAGAAAAAAATCCAGAAAATCACATTGTATGATTTTTAATGAATTTATTTGCAAATTATGGTGGAAAATAAGTATTTGGTCAATAACAAAAGTTTCTCAATACTTTGTTATATACCCTTTGTTGGCAATGACACAGGTCAAACATTTTCTGTAAGTCTTCACAAGGTTTTCACACACTGTTGCTGGTATTTTGGCCCATTCCTCCATGCAGATCTCCTCTAGAGCAGTGATGTTTTGGAGCTGTCGCTGGGCAACACGGACTTTCAACTCCCTCCAAAGATTTTCTATGGGGTTGAGATCTGTAGACTGGCTAGGCCACTCCAGGACCTTGAAATGCTTCTTACGAAGCCACTCCTTCGTTGCCCGGGCGGTGTGTTTGGGATCATTGTCATGCTGGAAGACCCAGCCACGTTTCATCTTCAATGCCCTTGCTGATGGAAGGAGGTTTTCACTCAAAATCTCACGATATATGGCCCCATTCATTCTTGCCTTTACACGGATCAGTCGTCCTGGTCCCTTTGCAGAAAAGCATCCCCAAAGCATGATGTTTCCACCCCCATGCTTCACAGTAGGTATGGTGTTCTTTGGATGCAACTCAGCATTCTTTGTCCTCCAAACACAACGAGTTGAGTTTTTACCAAAAAGTTATATTTTGGTTTCATCTGACCATATGACATTCTCCCAATCCTCTTCTGGATCATCCAAATGCACTCTAGCAAACTTCAGACGGGCCTGGACATGTACTGGCTTAAGCAGGGGGACACGTCTGGCACTGCAGGATTTGAGTCCCTGGCGGCGTAGTGTGTTACTGATGGTAGGCTTTGTTACTTTGGTCCCAGCTCTCTGCAGGTCATTCACTAGGTCCCCCTGTGTGGTTCTGGGGTGAGATCTTGCGTGGAGCCCCAGATTGAGGGAGATTATCAGTGGTCTTGTATGTCTTCCATTTCCTAATAATTGCTCCCACAGTTGATTTCTTCAAACCAAGCTGCTTACCTATTGCAGATTCAGTCTTCCCAGCCTGGTGCAGGTCTACAATATTGTTTCTGGTGTCCTATGACAGCTCTTTGGTCTTGGCCATAGTGGAGTTTGGAGTGTGACTGTTTGATGTTGTGGACAGGTGTCTTTTATACTGATAACAAGTTCAAACAGGTGCCATTAATACAGGTAACGAGTGGAGGACAGAGGAGCCTCTTAAAGAAGAAGTTACAGGTCTGTGAGAGCCAGAAATCTCGCTTGTTTGTAGGTGACCGAATACTTATTTTCCACCATAATTTGCAAATAAATTCATAAAAATCCTACAATGTGATTTTCTGGAAATTTTTTCCTCAATTTGTCTGTCATAGTTGACGTGTACCTATGATGAAAATTACAGGCCTCTCTCATCTTTTTAAGTGGGAGAACATGCACAATTGGTGGCTGACTAAATACTTTTTTTCCCCCACTGTATGCTTAAAATGCACTATATATACAAAAGTATGTGTACAACCCTTCAAGTTGCTGACAGGTGTATAAAATCGAGCACACAGCCATGCAATCTCCATAGACAAACATTGGCAGTAGAATGGCCATACTGAAGAACTCATTGACTTTCAACGTGGCATTGTCAGAGGATGCCATCTTTCCAACAAGTCAGTTCGTCAAATTTCTGCCCTGCTAGTGCTGCCCCGGTCAACTGAGTGCTGTTATTGTGAAGTGGAAATGTCTAGGAGCAACAACGGCTCAGCCACCATGCGGTAGGCCACACAAACTCACAAAAAAGGACCGCCGAGTGCTGAAGCGCGAGTAAAAATCGGTCTGTCCTCGGTTGCAACACTCACTACCGAGTTCCAAACTGCCTCTGGAAGCAATGTCAGCACAATAACTGTTCGTCGGGAGCTTCATGAAATGGGTTTCCATGGCTGAGCAGCCGCACACAAGCCTAAGATCACAATGCACAATGCCAAGCGTCGGCTGGAGTGGTGTAAAGCTAAGGCTCCTTAGTTCCAGTGAAGGGAAATCTTAACGCTACAGCATACAATTACATTCTAGACGATTCTGTGCTTCCAACTTTGTGGCAACAGTTTGGGGAAGGCCCTTTCCTGTTTCAGCATGACACTGCCCCCGTGCACAAAGCGAGGTCCATACAGAAATGGTTTGTCGAGATTGGTGTGGAAGAACTTGTCTGGCCTGCACAGAGCCCTGACTTCAACCCCATCGAAAAACCTTTGGGATGAATTGGAACACCGACTGCGAGCCAGGCCTAATCGTCCAACATCAGTACCCGACCTCACTAATGCTCGTGGCTGAATAGAAGCAGGTCCCCGCAGCAATGTTCCAACATCTAGTAGAAACCCTTCCCAGAAGAGTGGAGGCTGTTATAGCAGCAAAGGGGGGACCAACGCCATATTAATGCCCATGATTTTGCAAGGAGATCTTCAACAAGCAGGTGTCCACATACTTTTGCCGTGTAGCTTTTGTCCTCATGGGGACGTGGGAAATGTCCCCACGAAGTAGAATGTTCCTTGTTTTACTGTCCTTGTGGGAATTTTGGGGAATTTTAGGTCCCCACAAGGATAGAATAACCAACCCACCCACCCACACAAATGCTTAATGACAGAGAAAGCAAACAAATCAATGGTATAAGCAAATGCAAGAAGTGGTTGCTCTAGCCCCCTCCCATACTCTCCTGACCCTTGACCCCATGTTGATCCATACCTGGCGGACACGCCCCGGGCGGCCAACGGCTTGAGAGAGTTGGTGCAGCGTAGCAGCTTCTTCTGCTCCACCTGGACAACAATACGTTTAGAATGGCATTTGATTTGATTTACAGTATATAGTATAGTGCTTTTCATTTACAAACAAAGCTCAGACAGACCTTGTCCAGGATGTTCTTGCGGAGCACGCGGGCCAGGCTCAGCTCGCCGTTACACACCAGCCTGAACACCAGGTCCATCAGCTGCTTCAGGATGTCCTCTGTCAACTCTACCAGACTTGGAGGGAGGAAAGAGAGGGAGGAAAGGAAAAGAGCGGGGGATATGTGAGTTAACTAGTACAAGTCATCGCCTCAACATCTAGCCATCACTATCGATCACTGTAATGTATATTTGTTTAACAATGTGCCAACCAATCCTGTAAGACCAACTGACGATTTGACACGTAAATAAATACATAATTCCTTCAAAATCTCTTCAAGCTAGCTACTGGCCAGAAAAACTGTTGGAGACCCTTGGGACTTTCTTGGAGTAAAAAGCCATTAGTGTGGCTCATCCATACTCACCACAGCTCATCCACCACACGAACCAGCACAAAGAAGGTGTTCTTGCTGACCCGCTTCTTAAACGTGTCTGGACTGTGACAGAACCTGGTATATGTGCTTGGTGGTGAAGGAGAATACATATTCTGAACTCTTTCTCCTCATAGTAAACACACACACACACGTACACACACGTTTTCCACTGTCTTTCCAACACACACAGTATCTAGCCATTGAGACACTCGAGGCGACCAACACATGTCCGGTGGGTTTCAAAGGATATCTGTAGTGCAGCTTCTTAATGAGGTCCTCTGGGCTTATGAATGTCCTGTACGTGGTCAGGAAGGCTTCACAGTACAACACTAGATCTGTTGGGGAGCAGAGGAGAACACCGCCCCTTTAAGTCTGAGGTCGAGAACTAACGTTGGCTCCTCTGAACTTTAGAAAGCATGGAGGGAGGACATGAATAGATAGGTAATAGGTCATCTCTATTCTGATATACAGAGAAAAATTTACTGGAGAACAGGAATATTCCATCTATATCGAGATTTATCTATTCTATAACTGTTCACATGCAGAGTGAAAAGGGAGAATATACTGACATCACTGTACTGTACAACAATTTAACAGACAGAAAGTGTGATTGGATCCCTCCGGTTTGAACCAGATCCGCACGCGCGCGCACACACACACACACACACACACACACACACACACACAGCCTGTGCCACTGACCCAGAACCACACATTCTAATGGTGGCTGCTGTCGAACGGTGATAAACACTACCTACCTTTGCGGTCCGTCTCTGTGGCGTGAACTAACAGAATATCCCCTGATCCAGCACGCACGTCAGGACCATCATCATTCTGAGAGAGAGAATGAGAGAGCGAGATGGAGAGAGAAAGAGAGAGATGGAGGGAGACATGGAGAAAAAGAGAGCAGTGAGGGGCAAGGCATATAGAGGGATAGAGAGAAGTAGAGAGAAAAAGGGTTAGGTAGAGAATTGATGAGGATTAAGGCAAAAATGCAGTCTAGCCCAAAATGCAGCTCTCTCTCTCTCTGTCCATGCTCACCCTCCCTCCCTTCCAGCCCTGCACCAGCTCCACTGATGAGTGTGAGAGAGAGAGAGAGAGAGAGAGAGAGAGAGAGAGAGAGAGAGAGAGAGAGAGAGAGAGAGAGAGAGAGAGAGAGAGAGAGAGAGAGAGAGAGAGAGAGAGAGAGAGAGAGAGAGAGCTGGCATACGCAGGACACAGGCTGATCACACAAGCTGACAGATCCAACAATAATACCCTCGTTTACCGCTACAGCTGTCCTTTGTTGTTTAACCAGACCTCCCTTCTCTTATCCTCTTTCCTCCCTCCCTTTTTTCCCTCTCTCCCTCCCTCTTGCTACATCTGACCTTGCAGAGTGGGGACCAGCATTTCACACAATCACACACACACGCACACACACACTCTCCTGCCTGTCAGACTGCACCAAACAGACAAAAGGAAAGGGGATTTTAATGGGGGAAATGTATCCTGCAGTTCCTGAGAATGAACTCTAGAGGTCAATAGTGGACTGAGAGTGAAGTTTTCTTATTTGCATTTTTTATTTTTTTTATTTGTTTATTTATTTCACCTTTATTTAACCAGGTAAACCAGTTGAGAACAAGTTCTCATTTACAACTGCGACCTGGCCAAGATAAAGCAAAGCAGTGCGATAAAAACAACAACACAGAGTTACATATGGGGTAAAACAAAACAAAGTCAAAAATACAACAGAAATACATATATATACAGTGTGTGCAAATGTAGCAAGTTATGGAGGTAAGGCAATAAATAGGCTATAGTGCAAAATAATTACAATAGTATTAACACTGGAATGATAGATGTGCAAGAGATGATGTGCAAATAGAGATACTGGGGTACAAATTAGCAAAATAAATAACAATATAGGGATGAGGTAGTTGGGCGGGCTAATTTCAGATGGGCTGTGTACAGGTGCAGTGATCGGTAAGGTGCTCTGACAACTGATGCTTAAAGTTAGTGAGGGAGATAAGAGTCTCCAGCTTCAGAGATTTTTGCAATTTGTTCCAGTCACTGGCAGCAGAGAACTGGAAGGAATGGCGGCCAAAGGAGGTGTTGGCTTTGGGGATGACCAGTGAGATATACCTGCTGGAGCGCAGACTACGGGTGGGTGTTGCTATGGTGACCAATGAGCTAAGATTAGGCGGGGATTTGCCTAGCAGGTATTTATAGATGGCCTGGAGCCAGTGGGTTTGGCGACGAATATGTAGTGAGGACCAGCCAACAAGAGCGTACAGGTCACAGTGGTGGGTAGTATATGGGGCTTTGGAGACAAAACGGATGGCACTGTGATAGACTACATCCAATTTGCTGAGTAGAGTGTTGGAGGCTATTTTGTAAATTACATCGCCGAAGTCAAGGATCGGTAGGATAGTCAGTTTTACGAGGGCATGTTTGGCAGCATGAGTGAAGGAGGCTTTGTTGCGAAATAGGAAACCGATTCTAGATTTAACTTTGGATTGGAGATTCTTAATGTGAGTCTGGAAGGAGAGTTTACAGTCTAACCAGACACCTAGATATTTGTAGTTGTCCACATACTCTAGGTCAGACCCGTCGAGAGTAGTGATTCTAGTCGGGTGGGCGGGTGCAAGCAGCGTTCGGTTGAAGAGCATGCATTTAGTTTTACTAGTGTTTAAGAGCAGTTGGAGGCTACTGAAGGAGTGTTGTATGGCATTGAAGCTCGTTTGGAGGTTTGTTAACACAGTGTCCAATGAAGGGCCAGATGTATACAAAATGGTGTCGTCTGCGTAGAGGTGGATCTGAGAGTCACCAGCAGCAAGAGCGACGTCATTGATATACACAGAGAAAAGAGTCGGCCCAAGAATTGAACCCTGTGGCACCCCCATAGAGACTGCCATAGGTCCAGACAACAGGCCCTCCGATTTGACACATTGAACTCTATCTGAGAAGTAGTTGGTGAACCAGGCGAGGCAGTCATTTGAGAAACCAAGGCTATTTAGTCTGCCAATAAGAATGTGGTGGTTGACAGAGTCGAAAGCCTTGGCCAGGTCAATGAAAACGGCTGCACAGTACTGTCTATTATCGATCGCGGTTATAATATCGTTTAGGACCTTGAGCGTGGCTGAAGTGCACCCATGACCAGCTCGGAAACCGGATTGCATAGCGGAGAAGGTACGGTGGAATTCGAAATGGTCGGTGATCTGTTTGTTGACTTGGCTTTCAAAAACTTTTGAAAGGCAGGGCAGGATGGATATGGGTCTGTAACAGTTTGGATCTAGAGTGTCACCCCCTTTGAAGAGGGGGATGACCGCGGCAGCTTTCCAATCTCTGGGGATCTCAGACGTTACGAAAGAGAGATTGAACAGGCTAGTAATAGGGGTTGCGACAATTTCGGCGGCTAGTTTTAGAAAGAAAGGGTCCAGATTGTCTAGCCCAGATGATTTGTAGGGGTCCAGATTTTGCAGCTCTTTCAGAACATCAGCTGTCTGGATTTGTGTGAAAGAGAAGCGGGGGGGGCATGGGCAAATTGCAGCGGAGGGTGCAGAGCTGGTGGCCGGGGTAGTGGTAGCCAGGTGGAAAGCATGGCGTAGCCAGGTGGAAAGCATGGCGTAGCCGTAGCAAAATGCTTGTTGAAATTCTCGATTATTGTAGATTTATCGGTGGTGATAGTGTTTCCTAGCCTCAGTGCAGTGGGCAGCTGGGAGGAAGTGCTCTTATTTTCCATGGACTTTACAGTGTCCCAAAACTTTTTGGAGTTAGTGCTACAGGATGCAAATTTCTGTTTGAAAAAGTGAGCCTTTGCTTTCCTAACTGCTTGTGTATATTGGTTCCTAACTTCCCTGAAAAGTTGCATATCGCGGGGGCTATTTGATGCTAATGCAGTACGCCACAGGATGTTTTTGTGCTGGTCAAGGGCAGTCAAGTCTGAGGAGAACCAGGGGCTATATCTGTTCTTAGTTCTGTATTTTTTGAATGGGGCATGTTTATTTAAGATTGAGAGGAAATTACTTTTAAAGAACAACCAGGCATCCTCTACAACCAGGCATCCTCTACTGACGGAATAGTTTCTTGTTTCAGCCTCTCACTTACATTATGTAACATGAATACCTGGGACCACCCACTCTTAAAATGCTTAAAAACGCATGACTTACAAATTTGAATAAAAGTGGCATATATTATATTGTTATTATGAATAGAATCACATTGAAAGAAAGGGCAGTAGCCATAGATAACCACACACTTTTCTTTAGACAATGCTTAGCCAATAGACATTGGTGGTAATAATGTTAGTGCAATAATGAATGAGGGCGGCATTACCTCTTGTTTTAGTGTAATCCTGGACATTATCTCTTTGTGGTCGATGAGAGAGAGCTCATCCACTTCCTCCCCATCACCCGGTGCAGAGTCTGTCGACTTCTGCCTCCTACTGACGGACAGACAGACAGACAGAAGCACCGTTAGATCACTTTACCTGGACTTACATACATAGAAATAGAATGACTACCTATAATAGAATTGTTACCCATGAAAAGTGTTCCATTCAAATTGATGAATGGACTTTGTCTCCTCTAGTAATTCTATCTCTATGCTTTCATATAGAATTTGTCATTAATCAGTATCCATTTCATTCAATTGGCGTTTTAGCTTCTAGGATCACCGGATCAAGTAATGACGTAACGGCTGAATGGGAGAGTGTTAATGCAATGTGACCCTAGTGGCCACTCGATCCCTTACCTGTCCTTGTCCAGAGCCTCCTTGCTATTGGAGGAGGGCATCTGTGGAGCGGGGTCTTGAAGGACGTCGACAGCAGAGATTGGCTCCTGTTAGGGAAGAGTAAGCTCTGTCAAGGTAGGTTGAGGAGCAGGAAACATGGAACACCAACACATCATGTATACAAACGCTGTCTTCATAAAATAACTGTTGGCACAGGTAGAATTGAATAGGTATAAGTTATTAACCACTGATAGGGGATCAGATCTTTGATCATCCCCCTAATGGTTACAGTTAGGATTGTGGGTAGAATGATTTGATCCTAGATCTGTGGTTAGGACATATGTTCTAGGTTGAGTGTTACTTACTCTGAGGCAGAGTGGCAGCTCCAGCTCCCCGTTGGCCTGGCTGGATGAATAGAGGTTGACATACTCACCCTCGCCACCCTCGCCAGCCTCGTCCACACTCTACGTGAAGAGAAGAGGGAAGGCCACGGAATTAAATAGAACATATTGTATCTCTATGGGGACAGCAAGCTCAGGGGTAAGATGAGGCATGGAGATGGTGGTATGGTTTCTACTGTATGTAAGTGTCAAGAATTGGCCACCAGGTGGCACTGGTGATTAGTGTTTAATGTGTACAGTATTTCAGTAAAATGTACGTCTGTTACACATGATGGTGAATAGGAGAATACAGTCACAAGTTAGGATAATAAAATAGCCTAAATATAAGGTGGTCAACATCACAGAAACAGAAGGACATCTTTCACTATGGTCCACAGCTTTGATGCTTTGTGATTACTGATATGACAAGCATCCAGGAACTCAATGAGTCACCAACAATGTTATTGTCTGATGTGCATCCACCTTTAAATTACACCTTATTACTGAATCATATCTCCGTTATCATCGTTTATCTGTCTGTCTGTCTGTCTGTCTGTCTGTCTGTCTGTCTGTCTGTCTGTCTGTCTGTCTGTCTGTCTGTCTGTCTGTCTGTCTGTCTGTCTGTCTGGGAGTTAGGCTAGATTTGTCTGTGTAGGTGTCTGCCTGCCTGCCTTTCTGTCTGTCTGCCTGTGAGCTCACCGCTGCCGAGGTGTGGAGGAGAGAGTCAGTGAGAAGAGAAGTGGTCGCAGAGGAAGGAAGACAGACGGCCACAGAGCCCAATAGGTCGGCCAGGGAACCGTCGGGCCCGCCCCCGCTGCCATCCAATAGGGTGGCATCGGCCAAGGCGACCTGGTCCGAGCTCTGCGATTGGTGGGGAGTAGGAAAGGAAACCAGGAAGAAGGAAAAAAGGATAAGGTAAAGACAGCAGATAGAATCAGGTCAAAGCTGAAAAGGAAGTGAAAAGTTGAAAGAAAGTCTCCAGCACTTCCTAGACTCCTACTAACCTGGACTAATGTAATTCAACATACTGTAACAATGAATGGACTGATATCAATCTTTCTATGCCTTTCACATAGCCAGGAACACACCTGAACATGCGAGACACACCTGAATATACAACACACCTAAAGCAATGATTTCGCCATAAACTAGATGTTGCACAAGTGACAAGGAAAAGCATCACAATATGATTACAAAAACACCACCAGATAAATATGGTATATTTACAATGCACAAATGTGTGTCTGAGATTGTGTGTGTGTGGGCATGTCTGAGAATGTGTGTGTGTGTGTGTGGGGTTGTGTGTGTGGTCATGGTGTCCAGGTGAGTAGACTCCTGTGGGCAGAGAGCTAACCTGCTGTAAAATGTTGTGCATATCAACCCCGTTATGTTCCTTTACACATACCAGCACAGACAGAGCAGCCAGCACATAGATCACTGATAAACACCACATAGCACCACTCACACGCAGACACACACACTCTCTCCCTCTCTCTCACTCACACACACACACACACACAGACACTGGCAAGCAAGCATGCACACACACTAAACCTACAGCACCTTGGGTCTGCAAAAGTGGAGGGAGAACAAACTATGACGTTTTCACTGAAATCTTAAGGCCGGCTTATTTTCTTTCCACCCAACAAATGTTCCACATACCATTCTCCAAAAAACTATGACCATAAAACATACTTAACAGACAACACAGGTATGCACACACACACACAGAGCGGAGAAGAACGATTTACCACTGAAATAACATCGTTGGCACTAAATCAAATTCCTATATATGACTGTTGGGGGAAATATTGCAGATATTTTATATTCTATTCTATGAATGACAGATTTTCCTTTACTTTTACCAGAAAAATATTCCCCGACCTCCCATCTCCATGACATCCCCCCAACACATCATGCCCCGAGGACTTTAGGAATGTGAACATTCCACTGGCACACACACAGGGTGGGGGTTGAGGGGTGATGGGGGGTGTGGGGGTAGAGAGGCAAGATATGTGTAACAGAGAGAGGAGGGGGAGATGCTGTGATGTTTAAATTAAACTATAAATAAATGTTGGATTTGATTTATGGGGCAGAAGAGGGTAGAGGTCAGGAGGAAGGAGAAAGGGGAAGAAGAGAAGGAAGAGGAGAAAGCAGAGTAGGACAAGAGGAGGAATCTGTTTTGCATCAGGCCAGGTCCATATGGCATGCATTCCTCTAGATTCCACAGGAAGATACACACCACTTCTCTCTGAGAGGAGGGGGTCAAGCTCACCCCCTACCCCGCTACTCCCCGACCTCCTCAGTGTGCCCCTCGCACCCAGGGGTCACACGGGGTCAGGAAGGTAGACTCACCATGGGCGTGGTCAGCGAGGCGTGTCCACTCAGGTAGGACGAGCTAGAGACCAATAGGCTGAGGCTCAGGCCGGAGCCCACTTCCTCCGCTGCCGCCGCCAATGAAGGCTGGAGGTGGCACGACAGAGCGGAGGATGAGGAAGAAGAGGGGGAAGAAGAGTGGGAGGCCTGAGGAGGAGAGAAAGAATGAAAAAAGGAGAGTGGAAAGATAAATAAGAAGAGAATGGGGGAGAAAGATAAGCATTAAAGGGAGGAAGAAGAGAGAAAGGAGGCAGACAGAAAAAATAAAGAAGAAGAAACTTTATCACACTAAGAAGAGAAAGCAGAAGCAGTTTGAAGATCAAATCACGTTTCAGAATTAGAGCGATAAAAGACCGAGCCAGAAAAGAGAGTGAAGTTCAGGATAGCATTAGAACAAAATGAAGTCTTGTGAATGTAGAAACTTCTACCACAGAAGAAAAACACAGAAGACTCCTTGTTGCTGACACTGGAAATTAATTCAGCCACACGGTCAGCAAAGGTCAAAGCTAAGCGTCATCACTAGGGGTTAGAACACACCAAAGAGTCAAGAACTGTTTAGCCCATCGCTCAAACAGTGTTCGGATCTGACCATCTTAAACCTAACCAAGCGTCTTGCTCTCTGAACGGTTATGCTTCAAAGACACTACACGCCTCGAAACAGAGGAGAAATTTGATTTTCGCTTTCTCTTTCTCTCTCCATCGTCTAAATTACTTTTCTTTTCTCAAAGCCGTGTAAAGTCAGTGTTTAAAGCCTGTAACATGGTGGCTTATTGGAAGGCAGGACGAGGACTAGGGGCCAAACAGGCTTATCCTACCCAGGCCACAACCTCTTCAAGCCCCCTACACCACCAGCCAAGATTACCAGGAGAGAGGTAGGAGAGAAATACAGTTGGACTGTACAGTATAGTAGAGTGTACAACAGAAATCATCAAACTAAAAGGCTGGGAATCTTAAAATAGACAGTGGTTGGTGGATGGCAGAAGGAGAACAGCAGACCAGGACACTAGAGGGTTATGATAACCTACCGCTGAGAGAGAGAGGGTATGTATAGTATTGTACTGTAGTGAGGTCTGCAGGAGTGCAATCCCAATGTGAAATCCAGGCATGGAATTAAAATACATTCACAAATCTCCCACAGACATCCATGTATGATTTACATTAGTCTAACCCTGCAGGGTATTTTCATTTTCTGGTTGTAAACTGGTGTTCTAGTTGTGGATAAATCAGGCACTGAGCACAATATCCACCCAAGGGTGCAGAATCCATTGCACCCCTACTGGCTCCCAGTCAATAGCCCATGATTCCATTGGGGAGTCCAGTAGCCATCTAGCCTCTCCCCATGTGTAGTCTTTAGAAAAATGGCTGACAAACCAAATGTTTACCTCCACAGGTTAAAGCAGAATCTAACCTTACCACTTTTATACCTCAACCCTTAGCCAAGATTAACCAATCCCCATTAACCTGAAGAAGTTTGGCCAATCTAATCTATCTGACCAGCCCCTCCCCCTGGGTTCTACCCTCCATTGACTGATTGACCGACCGGACTGTCAGTCAGACAGTCATCTCAATTAACCTAGGGCGACCAGGATTAAGATAAGATGACTGGATTTGATAGGGACTGATATTGAGAAAGACAAGTCTCATCTTCTCTGGTAGGTGTTACCACCACCACCGACATACACCATTTAGAGCGAGAAAGAGAAAGAGAGACTAGGCAGACTGAAGAGGACAGGGGGTAGATGGAGAGATAGAGAGAGAAAAAGAGAAAGAAATAACGAGAGACTTGTCAGACTGAACTGAACAGGGGAGAGATAAAGAGAAAATTGATGAGGAATGAATTCCTGCAGGAAGGGAGCGCTGGAATACTATCCTTCCCAGCCAACAAACACCACACTCGTGCAAGTTACCTCAGAGTTCTTCTTCAGGCCTCAAACTGAAGAAAAAGGTCTGAAACAGGAAGTGACTACCTAGACATGTCCAATAAGAAATGCTCATTTTAATTTCTCATTGCAAAACGTTTTAACCGTTTTATGTTGCGTGCCCTAATGAACACAACCCTGCTTCACATTCACCTCCATAGGGGCTAGTTTAAGAGTTTTATTAGTCGTATGTACGGGATACGCACGGTATACACCGTCCAACGAAATTCTTACTTGCAGGTTCCTTCTCGGCGATGCAACAACAATAGGAAATAAAATATAAGAATATGAACAAAGTAAATGGCCTAGTAGAATAGAATAAACATTATAATACAGGAAGGCACAATTTATAGTCCAATATTTACACGTTTTGGGGTAGGGGGATTTGGGGGCAAGTGTTTAAATAGTTTATACTTGACATGTGTTCCACACCACTGGCTGCCAATGACCTATAGACAGGGGTCAACTGTCCTCTGTGGTGTCATACAGCATACAGAATCTGACCCTCACCTTTGACCTCCAGGCAATAACTCCTGTTGTGATCTCCACAGCATGCAGCACCATGACCTCACTGTTTTGGTTTCACCACAGGGGGCTTAAACTTTCACCTTTTAAATTTCCTCATTTAATTGTTGATTTAAAACTAAGTTAGAAGTGTTAAATCACCAACCATAAACCCCTACGAGTAAAATATTTAACCATTCAACACTCAACCATGACCGCATGGATGTCCACCTCAGAAAGGAGACCTTACACAAGAAACCTTGGGCTCCAAATTCTCCACGCTTTCCCAAAGTGTGCACTTGCACACGCCACCATCATAACCAGTGCATCAATCTCCACCGGTGAGGTCTGTGAGGTGGGGTCGTCAGGAAGAGTAACAGAATGTGTGATTGGGTGGTGAGGACTTGAGGAGGAACACACACACACACACACTCACCAGCTGCCTCTGCTTGGGGGGCAGGGCGGGAGGTGGGAAGAGGGGCATGGGCAGGGGCTCGTGGACTGAGTCTGTGCTGCTGAAAGAGTCGTTGAAGCCGTAGACCTCCTGGAAGCGCTTGTTCCTCTGCTCGTAGATGCTCTCGCTCTGCGGCATCTGGTAGAACACTGAGGGCTGGGGCTCCGAGTAGTCCTCCACAAACTGCATGTACGCCAGGACTGGGGGGACACAGCGAGACATTAAAAGTTGTTTAAAGTGAAATGTTAATATGCACACTACCATGCTTCAATCATATGTGATGCAGGGAATTTTAACTGCAAGAATTAGCGCCATTATAGAAAAGATAACTCCCTTAAACACAATATTAGCTCTGCATGTTCCTAAGATAGGAGTGATGTCATGTAATGTTGAAAGGGGTCAGTTTGACAATAAATGTAATAAACTCAGCAAAAAAGGAAACGTCCTCTCACTGTCAACTGCGTTTATTTTCAGCAAACTTAACATGTGTAAATATTTGTATGAACATAAGATTCAACAACTGAGACATGAACTGAACAAGTTCCACAGACATGTTACCAACAGATATTGAATAATGTGTCCCTGAACAAAGGGGGGGGGGGGGGGTGGGGTCCAAATCAAAAGTAACAGTCAGTATCTGGTGTGGCCACCAGCTGCATTAAGTACTGCAGTGCATCTCCTCCTCATGGACCAGATTTGCCAGTTCTTGCAGTGAGATGTTACCCCACTCTTCCACCAAGGCACCTGCAAGTTCCCGGACATTTCTGGGGGGAATGGCCCTAGCCCACACCCTCCGATCCAACAGGTCCCAGACGTGCTCAATGGGATTGAGATCCGGGCTCTTCGCTGGCCATGGCAGAACACTGTCTTGCAGGAAATCACGTACAGAACGAGCAGTATGGCTGGTGGCATTGCCTACCGTCTGTAAGCTGTTAGTGTCTTAACGACCGTTCGACAGGTGCATGTTCAATAATTGTTTATGGTTCATTGAACAAGCATGGGAAACAGTGTTTAAACCCTTTACAATTAAGATCTGTGAAGTTTTTTGGATTTATACTAATTATCTTTGAAAGACAGGGTCCTGAAAAGGGGACGTTTCTTTTTTTTGCTGAGTTTAGCTTGACAGAAAGTGGCATCATAGTTCAACAGTCCCGAGAGGCTTAGTTGGTAGAGCATGTCTCTTGCAACGCCAGGGCAATGTTCACTCAAATTTCATGTCTGCTGAGCGCAAACTTCAACATTGTGAAAATTCTGTGCAACTTCCAGCGCGTGTTTACTGTGAACACTGAGGCTGTACCCGCTTTAAGTTCCAAAAAGGAACACCGTCTTCCAGATGATGGCAAAACTCGAGTCGCACCGCATTATTTCTGCCTCATGCACAAATTCATGTTGTTACTCCTATGAACTGAGAAAGTGAAATATTCCTCGATATTAAAAAAGACCCAGGCTGCTAATAATAACAACGCAAGCCTATAGATACACATTCCTACTCATTCATTACAGTGCTTGTTGTAGCGCTGAGTGAAAATAGGAAGAACGCGCATTTTATGGCTTATAAAAGTGTTGAATAAAGTGTTGACAGCGCTGAGTAAGAACTTAAACATGAACTCACTCATAAAAACAGCATCTCTTTGCTGTATTCGCTGACAGTCTCTCTCTAGCCATGGTTTTAAACGTTTTGAAATCAAAGAGTATCACATTTTCTGTAGCTTTCTTTTACGCCTGCTACGTTACTGCAGACATGGTCATCTGAGCCATCCGATTGGCCAGCGGTAGGCCTATAGTGCACTTAATTTGCTCCCCAGGGCCCGCCGGGAAGGCAGAGTTTGTACCTTCAGACACATGAAATGGTTCAAAATGGCAACAGTTCGCCTATGTGGCGCACAGGGCAGTGGAATCGGGTGCACCTACCGCCAACAGCCCTAGACGAATAAAAAAAACAACAGTTTTTTTTATAGAAATGTTTGGTGATCGAATAGGAATGCCTTGGAGATTACCAATCGATCGGTTGGTGACCACTGCTCTAGAAAGTTGAGTGAAGTTCAATCTCGTGCTTCTCTCTGTGGGCAAATATTTCTGCACAGCAGTCCCGGGGGAGCTGCGCGGCAGTCTCGGGGCTACTAAGCGCCCGCAGCTTAGAGGGAACATTGGTTGTGGGTTCGATTCCCACAGATGGACCAGTATGAAAAAGTAAGTCGCTCTGGATAAGAGCGTCCACTAAATGACAAAACTGTAAATAAATAAAATGTAATCAGGAAATGACATCATAGCTTGGCAGGAAGTTACATAATTGCGACCTCTGTAGCCAACTGCCAGTGGATCCTGAGTTCATTGTGCTTGTCCTGGAGTTCACTTCCTCCCTCTATTCTCTGTGGCAGATTTCCTAAACATGAGCCATGCATGAAAGACACTGCAGCTAAGTTAGATCTCTAACCACCTCTCTCCCTCAATCTTGTTTCATTTCTCTCTCTCACTCAGTCTTTTGCTCAATTATCTCACTAAACCATCTCCTTCTCTTCCTCAAATCTCCCTCCGCTCTTTTTCTTTCCTTCTCTCTCTCAATTTTCCTGTAAGTCCCTCTCTCTCTTCCACTCCTCCTGTCCCTTTCTCCCCCACACCCCTTTCTCCATCTCTCACCGTGCTTGTTCCTCTTCTCGGGCAGCGGCGGTGGACTGGAGGGAACATCTGCGTTCTCGCTGGCCAGGTACTGGGCCACGAACACGTCCCCGTTGCTCTGGGGCATGGGTGAGATGGGCGTGAAGAGGGGGAAGGGGGGCGTGGGGTGTAGCAGCTCCTCTTCCGACAGGTTATCGTACTGGGAGGGGAACCTCTCGTAGAGGGGCCCCCGCGAGGAACCACCCCCGCACCCGTCCGGATAGGGCGACACCTGGGCGCTGCGCCGCTTCTTCTGGGGTAACGCTGGAGGCGCGCTGAGGCGGCTAGGGTGCAAGGGGCTGATGTGGGAGCCGGGCTGGGGGGTCCAGTACTCGGAGTGGGGAGGGTGAGGGTGTTGGGGGGCGGGTGGGGAGCTGAAGCGGGTGTGAGGAGGGACGGGGGAGGGGGAGGGGGAGGATGACTCGCTGTGGGACTCAGGGAGGGGCGACAGAGAGGTGACCCCTGAGGGGGCGAGGGTGGGGGGCAGGTTGGGGTTCCCAGTGAAGACGGAGAGGTCCTGGTGGAGGAAGTCGTAGTCCGGGTCGTAACTCTCTGTGTTGTCTGAAGAGAAACAGAGGAGAGATCGAGAGAAAGAGATAGTGAAACAGTCTTTGAAATGCAGTATTGGTGGTTACGGTTAAGCTGTTGACATTTGAAGTGAGTAATTTTGTCCACATAGTCAGCTAGCTCTCAGTATCATTGGCCACCATTGAAAACGTTGCTAAAGCTAGCTAGTTAGCCAGTAAGAAGGTTTAGAACACCTACTCATTCAATGGTTTTTCTTAATTTTTACTATTTTCTACATTGTAGAATAATAGTGAAGACATCAAAACTATGAAATAGCACATGTGGAATCATGTAGTAACCAAAAAAGTGTTAAACAAATCAAAATATATTTGAGATTTGAGATTCTTCAAATAGCCACCCTTTGCCTTGATTACAGCTTTGCACACTCTTGGCATTCTCTCAACCAGCTTCACCTGGAATGCTTTTCCAACAGTCTTGAAGAAGTTTCCCACATATGCTGAACACTTGTTGGCTGCTTTTCCTTCACTCTGCGGTCCGACTCATCCCAAATCATCTCAATTTGGTTGAGGTCGGGGGATTGTGGCCAGGTCATCTGATGCAGCACTCCATCACTCTCCTTCTTGGTAAAATAGCTATTACACGGCCTGGAGGTGTGTTGGGTCATTGTCCTGTTGAAAAACAAATGATAGTCCCACTAAGCCCAAACCAGATGGGATGGCGTACCGCTGCAGAATGCTGTAGTAGCCATGCTGGTTAAGTGTGCCTTGAATTGTAATTAAATCACAAACAGTGTCACCAGCAAAGCACCCCCACACCATAACACCTCCTCCTCCATACTTTATGGTGGGAAATACACATGCGGACATCATCCGTTCACCCACACAGCGTCTCACAAAGATATCCAATTTGGACTCTAGACCAAAGGACACATTTCCACCAGTCTGTCCATTGCTTGTGTTTCTTGGCCCAAGCAAGTCTCTTCTTATTATTGGTGTCCTTTAGTAGTGGTTTCTTTGCAGCAATTCGACCACGAAGGCCTGATTCACACAGTCTCCTCTGAACAGTTGATGTTGAGATGTGTCTAACTTGAACTCTGTGAAGCATTTATTTGGGCTGCAATTTCTGAGGCTGGTAACTCTAATGAACTTATCCTCTGCAGCAGAGGTAACTCTGGGTTCCATTCCTGTGGCGGTGCTCATGAGAGCCAGTTTCATCATAGCACTTGATGGTTTTTGCAACTGCACTTGAAGAAACTTTCAACGTTTCTGGATTGACTGACCTTCATGTCTTAAAGTAATGATGGACTGTCGTTTCTCTTTGCTTATTTGAGCTGTTCTTGTCATAACATGGACTTGGACTTTTACCAAATAGGGCTATCTTCTGTATACATTTACATTTTAGTATACCACCCCTACCTTGTCACAACACAACTGATTGGCTCAAACGTATTAAGAAGGAAATAAATTCCACAAATTAACTTTTAACAAGGCACGCCTGTTAATTGAAATGCTTTCCAGGTGACTACCTCATGAAGCTGGTTGAGAGAATTCCAAGAGTGTGCAAAGCTGTCATCAAGGCAAAGGGTGGCTATTTGAAGAATCTCAAATATCTTTTGATTTGTTTAACACTTTTTTGGTTACTACATGATTCCACATGTGTTATTTCATAGTTTATGTCTTCACTATTATTCTACAATGTAGAAAATAGTAAAAATAAAGAAAAACCCCTGAATGAGTAGGTGTTCTAAAACTTTTGACCGGTAGTGTATGTTAGCTAGCTCTATAATGAATATAACTCATCTGCTGTCAACATCGGAAAACAATTTGAGAGCACTAGGGGTTTGTAGCTTTGACTCCATGATGACAGTGCATAATCAGAGCCATCCATGCTAGTCACGCTACAAACTTCATTTTACCAGGTTCCCATGAAGCAATTGTAATGACAGTCCACCACAACATACCCAAGAGTCTCCTGATTAGCAAGGGGTAGTCCGTGTTTAATTTTATTGTGTTGTAAAAACACAGTTTGAGATCATTGTAAGGGGTTTTCTCCAGTGGTATGAATGGGGAATTGGGCTTCCCGGGAAAATGTTGTCCGAAGTTGCAACAGTAACCAAGGGGGCATGGCTTAGCAAAGGGTACATTTTAGGTTGTGTGTGTGTGTGTGTGTGTGTGGGGGGGGGGGGGGGGGGGGGGGTGTAAAGGGAGACTGAATGACTATAATGAGTATATGTGCATATGTTAACAGCCGTTTGTGTGTGTGTGTGTGTGTGTTTATATGTGTGTGTGTGTATATCTGTTTTGCGTGTATCCCTACCCAGCGTCTCACAGCTAGTATTTTGGGAGCACTGTCCGCTGTCCTGTTCCATGGAGCAGATATGCTCGTCAGACTTGCTGAGCTTTCCCATGCTGCTGCAGGGCGAGAGGCACGGGGAGTCGCCCCTGTACGACTGGCTACCCCCTGAGAAACGTCTCTGGAGGAACTCCTGCTCATAGTCCTGCTGCTGCAAAGACGCAGACACGGAGACAGACAGGCAGGCGGACAGACAAACAAACAAACAGACAGACAATGAAAAACAGACAGAGATATAAGCAAGTTTCAGGATATAATAGAGAACTTTGTGGGGCTAGGATCTGTTAATGGCTGGCCTAATCAAGTTTGATCACTAGTCTGTATCGGTCCATTATAATATAATCTGGTAATCCACCCTAATCAACACCATACTCTGACAAATTTCTCTAGACCACTGTACTACCATTACCAGTGGAATATGTGGGTAACCTTACAAAGTACTGGTCCCATCTGGACAAGAGGAATACCTATGTAAGAATGCTGTTCATTGACCAAGCTCATCACCAAGCTTGAGGCCCTGGGTCTCAACCCCACCCTGTGCAATTAGGTCCTGGACTTCCTGACGGACGCCCCCAGGTGGTTAAGGTAGTAAACAACATCTCCACTTCGCTGATCCTCAACACTGGGGCCCCACAAGGGTGTGTGCGCAGCCCCCTCCTGTACTCCCTGTTCACCCATGACTGCGTAGCCATGCACGCCTCCAAATCAAATCATCAAGTTTGCAGACGACACAACAGTAGTAGGCTTGATTACCAACAACGATGAGACAGCCTACAGGGAGGAGGTGAGGGCTCTCGGAGTGTGGTGCCAGGAAAATAACCTCTCACTCAACGTAAAAAAAACAAAGGAGATGATCGTGGACTTCAGGAAACAGCAGAGCGAGTACCCTCCTATCCACATCGATGGGACAGCAGTGGAGAAGGTAGAACGTTTTAAGTTCCTCGGTGTACATATCACTGACAAACTGAAATGGTCCACCCACACAGACAGTGTGGTGAAGAAGGTGCAACAGTGTCTCTTCAACATCAGGAGGCTGTAGAAATGTGGCCTGTCACCTAAAACCCTCACAAACTTTTACAGATGCACAATTGAGAGCATCCTGTATCACCGCCCACAACCGCAAAGCTCTCCAGAGGGTGGTGTGGTCTGCACAACCCATCACCGGGCGCAAACTACCTGCCTTCCAGGACACCTACAGCACACGATGTCACAGGAAGGCCAAAAAGATAATCAAGGACAACTACCACCCGAGCCACTGCCTGTTCACCCCGCTATCATCCAGAAGGCGAGGTCAATACAGGTGCATCAAAGCTGGGACCGAGAGACAGAAAAACTGCTTCTATCTCAAGGCCATCAGACTGTTAAACAGCCATCACCAGCACAGAGGCTGCTGCCTACATACAGACTTGAAAAGCACTGGCCACTTTAATAAATGGAACACTAGTCACTTTAATAATGTCACTTTAATAATGCCACTTTAATAATGTTTACATATCTTGCATTACCCATCTCATACAGTTGAAGTCGGAAGTTTACATACACTTAGGTTGGAGTCATTAAAACTTGTTTTTCAACCACTCCACACATTTCTTTTTAACAAACTATAGTTTTGGCATCTACTTTGTGCATGACAAAGGTAATTTTTCCAACAATTGTTTACAGACAGATTATTTCACTAATAATTCACCGTATCACAATTCCAGTGGGTCAGAAGTTTACATATACTAAGTTGACTGTGCCTTTAAACAGCATGGAAAATTCCAGAAAATGATGTCATGGCTTTAGAAGCTTCTGATAGGCTAATTGACATAATTTGAGTCAGTTGGAGGTGTACCTGTGGATGTATTTCAAGGCCTATCTTCAAACTCAGTTCCTCTTTGCTTGACATCATGTGAAAATCAAAAGAAATCAGCCAAGACCTAAGAAAAATAGTTGTAGACCTGCACAAGTCTGGTTCATCCTTGTACGCAAGTATAAACACCATGGGACCACGCAGCCGTCATATCGCTCAGGAAGGAGACCCGTTCTGTATGCTAGAGATTAACGTACTTTGATGCGAAAAGTGCAAATCAATCCCAGAACAACAGCAAAGGATGCTGGAGGAAACAGGTGCAAAAGTATCTATATCCACAGTAAAACGAGTCATATATCGATATAACCTGAAAGGTCGCTCAGCAAGGAAGAAGCCACTACTCCAAAACCGCCATAAAAAAGCCAGACCATGGTTTGCAACTGCACATGGGGACAAAGATCGTACTTTTTGGAGAAATGTCCTCTGGTCTGATGAAACAATAATAGAACTGTTTGGCCATAATGACCGTCGTTATGTTTGGAGGAAAAAGGGGAAGGCTTGCAAGCCGAAGAACACCATCTTAACCGTGAAGCACGGGGGTGGCAGCATCATGCTGTGGGGGTGTTTTGCTGCAGGAGGGACTGGTGCACTTCACAAAATAGATGGCATCGTGAGGAAGGAAAATTATGTGGATATATTGAAGCAACATCTCAAGACATCAGTCAGGAAGTTAAAGCTTGGTCGCAAATGGGTCTTCCAAATGGACAATGACTCCAAGCATATTTCCAAAGTTGTGGCAAAATGGCTTAAGGACAACAAAGTCAAGGTATTGAAGTGGCCATCACAAAGCCCTGACCTTAATCCTATAGAAAATGTGTGGGCAGAACTGAAAAAGCGTGTGCGAGCAAGGATGCCTACAAACCTGACTCAGTTACACCAGCTCTGTCAGGAGGAATGGGCCAGAATTCACCCAACTTATTGTGGGAAGCTTGTGGAAGGCTACCCGAAACGTTTGACCCAAGTTAATCAATTTAAAGGCAATGCTACAGAATACTAATTGAGTGTATGTAAACTTCTGACCCACTGGGAATGCGATGAAAGAAATAAAAGCTTAAATAAATCCTTCTCTCTACTATTATTCTGACATTTCACATTCTTAAAATAAAGAGGTGATCCTAACTGACCTAAGACAGGGAGTTTTTACTAGGACTAAATGTCAGGAATTGTGAAAAACTGAGTTGAAATGTATTTGGCTAAGGTGTATGTAAACTTCCGACTTCAACTGTATGTATATACTGTATTCTATACTGTATTCTATACTATCTATTGCATCTTAGCCTATGCCACTCTGATAATGACATTGCTCATCCATATATTTACATATTCTTATTCCATTACTTAGATTTGTGTGTATTAGGTTTTTGTCGTGGAACTGTTAGATATTACTTGCTAGATATTGCTGCACTGTCAGAACTAGAAGCACAAGCTTCCCATGTGTAAGTGACCAATACATTTGATTTGATTTGTCTCTAGTGAGGTGTGTGTGTGTTGGTACCCGTCTGTGGACGCTGCAGGGCAGGCTGGAGCCACGGCTCATGGGGGCCACCACTGCCACCCGGGTGGGCGACGGGGCCGACTGGCGCTTCTTTGGGGGCAGGGCCGGAGGAGGACTGGAGAGAGAGAAGGACCATCAGTGAGAATGGAGCTTTTTCAGTAGGGTTGGGGTCAATTAGAATTGAAGTCACTTATTGAATTGGAATTTCAGTTTAATTCATGAATTGACTGACTTCAATTCAAATTGACCCCGACCCTGTTTTTCGGCTTCTGATACCCAACCAGGCTCACAAATACAAGTAGGGGCATTGGTACACACAAACAAACAGTTCACTGCTCCTTGAGCTGGGTTGTGGGATATGACAGTAGCTAAGTTTCCATCCAATTGGCGACTGATTTTCATGTGAATATTCTAAAAATCTGCATAAAAACAATATGCTCATTTTCCCACCAGAGATGTGTTGCCATTAAATTGACCTGTTGCGGATAAAAGGCTGTGCGTAATGACGTAGTGCACATATAAAGTTAAATGGGTTTCCATCGTATTTCCAACTCTACTGATGGTTGGTGTATATGCCCACTCTGGTCTTGGCACCTGTGCTCTAGCCAACAGCTCGTAGATACAGTGCGGGTAGGATAGCCTACATGATGACATTATTATGGACAAAAGAGAGAGATTATTATTATTTGTCAAAAGGCAGCCAAAGCATCGATCATCATGACACTAGAATAAGACAATAGATATTTATTGGAAAGGAGCATCAATCACTGCGTGCACATTCACCACCTTGTGAAGTTCATCATAATGTGGTCCTCTGTAGCTCAGCTGGTAGAGCACGGCGCTTGTAACGCCAAGGTAGTGGGTTCGATCCCCGGGACCACCCATACACAAAAATGTATGCACGCATGACTGTAAGTCGCTTTGGATAAAAGCGTCTGCTAAATGGCATATTATTATTTATTTTTATTATTATTATTATTATAATGTATTTAATCTATAGCCTAATAAACTGCATTCTTTCCCGAGTCGTAGTGGGAGGACCACACAACATATCATCGCGTGACACCAAGTTTACTTCGATATGATGGTTATTATATCAATATTTGCGCATAAAGGAATTTCCATCGCCATTTCTCGCATAATACATTTTACAGACACAAAAAGATCACACCTTGTCTAGCGTATTTTGTTTTGTCGACATTTGGAAAGTTTACAGACAAATTTGCTGTTTCCAACATGTACTTTTCTCGCATAAAAAGCTTGGATGGAAACCTGGTTACTGAGGGGTTGTTCTGGTCAAATCCAGAGGTGGGACCAATTCACTATTATTCGAGTCACAAGCAAGTCTCAAGGTCCAAGTCTCAAGTCGAGTCCCAAGTAGATCCGGTCTAGTCTCGAGTAAAGTCCAAGTTGTGCATACTAAGAGCAAGTCAAGTTGAGGCAAGTCTTTTCAAGTCAAGTCAAGTAAAAAAAAATCTATACAGACAATGACTTGTTCAACTATAAATCTTTATCTATTTATTGAGGCTACCAGACAGCCTTTCATTATTTTGTCTAGAACACATTTTGATTATTAATTTAAACAACAAATTCCAATGGTAAGCTTCATGAGTAAATTCTAAATTTCAAGCAATTTTGACATACCAAAAGACTAGTAGGCCTACGCTAGTAATTGTTGCTTGATGCCCCATTGCTGGTGAGCTTGCAAGGTAATCGGTTCATATTCTTGAGCACCACAGTTTTTGGGAGCTGAATATTCATTTATGGCAAGTCTCTGTACCTACAATTTGACGTTTGCGCTGCACCCGATCCTATAGCTAGCTGTACAGCAAATCGGCAATCTGTTCGGTAGCTCAGTTGTTTTCAAACTTTTTGACTTGGGACCCCCAAAAAGCAGGGGTTCAAAGCTTGCGACACCCGCGCACATGCGTGTGTACACAGGGCGAACACAGGCGCACAATCGCTGCCAAATGTAGCCTATCATTACAGCCATAAACGTAGACACATTTTCAAAAACGCAAGATACAGAAATAAACTGCATTTTACACCTGCATTTTGAGCTTAAAGCCATTCATGTTAGTAGTCAATATCAACTAGGGATATCATGTCACATTGTCACTTCTCTGGAGTCCAGAGTAAGCAGGATGATATGGTCTACCTGTTTGCGGCGGAGATTGCAGTATCGGATGGAAAGCGTGATCTGTCTGTAACCTTTTTCTTCCTCACAAATATCGTATTTCATTTGCCAGAATATGTTACATCTTCATCCCACAAGTATGGAAGGTAGTGTAATGTTACAGCTATCTTTAGACATATAGCCAGTACCACCACTGAGGTATAGAATTATAATCCACCCAAACTAGGCCTATCTGAAATATGAAAATTATCAATGAAATCACCAGGTAGCCTATTGTCGTGGCAAAGATACGTCCATAGCAGATTGCTACATGGTACCTTATATGGATAATATTAATTTAGGTAGGCTAAAATTAAACAAGCGGTTTCTGGTTCGCCTTTGTGTGCCGATGCTGATGACTGGTTATTGGTCAAATCAAGTCATCAAATTTGTGACTTGAGTCAGACTTGTCTAAGTCATGTGACTCGAATCCACACCTCTGGTAAAATCAGCATTACGTGCTTAATGCCTAATTTTTAATAACATCTGGAATACCCCAACAGAAGTTGGGCTTTCTAGGTTATCACACTGCAATCATCACAAGTCAATGTCAGCTCAAAAGGCACAGCATAAAATCAACAAGCCAAGGAGACATGGGGACCATGACAGGGAAAGTAACAGGGTTGGGGTCAGTTTCATTCAAATTCCAGTCAATTCAAGAAGTACACTGAAATTACATTTGGTGTACCTTTTTAAATCGACTGGAATTTAAAGGTATTTGTTTGAATTTCTGTATTGTCATTTCAGAAAATGTCCATAATATATCTGGCGCTAATAGTGAAATGATAGTGTTTTACAGTATTATTTACCCGCCAGCATTATGGACATTCTCTGAAATTACAGTGCAAAAATTGAAAGAAAATCCTGTGTGTAGCACCTTTAAATGGAATTGACCCCAACCCTGGAAAATGATGACATTCATGACGTGTACACACCATAGACATACATATATTTATGATATCATTGGTACACACTCATGCACCAAGCTTTCTCCTGATTGGATGTGGGCTTCATTGCACGCCATGATGCAAGACACAGCACTCCACCAATCAGTCACTCCAGCAATCAAGACATTTCCGGGATCCGGATTGGATAGCTATAAAGGGGGCGGGATGTTATGATGCAGGCGAATGACCCTATTGGCTAACATACGTGTCCGTTTTTGTGGATCTCCTTTGGGCAGCTACTGAGTGGTCAGTAGCCAAGTGCGCTCTGTTCCCCAACAGACATGGAGAGAGGGATGGAAAGCACAGATAAAAAAGTGAGAGAGAGCGGAAGGAAGAGGAAGATAGGAGAGGAAGAGCGACAAAAAGAGAGCGAGACAGCAGTGCAACTCAAAATCCTAGTAGTATTATCGGATCTTCTGGCTAAGCCCAAGGTCTATGGATTTGTCAAAGCTCTGCTTCCTTAAGCACACAGCGACTGAATAATTGACTGCCTGCCTATGACCCTCAGTTTTCCAACCTCTTATGACAATCCTTTTTCAACTTAAGAGAGGAAGATCTTCTAGATTATTAGAATTCCCCTTTGAGATAAAATGTTTCTACACAAATTTGTTAAATTCTGAACACAATCTGGTTTTTCCACATTGACAGTGGACATCCCAAATGGAACCCGATTCCCTAAATAGTGCACTACTCTTAACTAAAGCACTATGGCCACTGGTAAAAAATGGTGTACTATATATTGAATATCCTATATAGTGCTCTGATTTTAATAATAATATAATAATAATATGCCATTTAGCAGACGCTTTTATCCAAAGCGACTTACAGTCATGCGTGCATACATTTTTACGTATGGGTGGTCCCGGGGATCGAACCCACTACCCTGGCGTTACAAGCGCCATGCTCTACCAATTGAGCTACAGAGGACCAGAACACTATGGGGCCCTGGTCAAAAGTAGTGCACTACATAGGGATTAGGGTGCTATTTGGGGCACATCCTAAGCAGCAGATGAGATACCATGAAAGTGAGTTTCACAGACTCAATTAGGCCTAGTTCATAAATAGACCCTGATCTCATGTCAATCAAAGAATGTTCGCTTCACTTCCTCTTTGGTAGAATTCTATACTTAACAAAAATATAAAACGCAACATGCAACAATTTCAAAGATTTTACTGAGTTACAGTTCATATAAGGAAATCAGTCAATTGAAATAAATAAATTAGGCCCTAATCTATGGATTTCATGACTGGGAATACAGATATGCATCTGTTGGTCACAGATAGCTTTTTAAAAAGTAGGGGCGTGGATCAGAAAACCAGTCAGTATCTGGTGTGACCATTTGACTCATGCAACGCATAGATTTGATCAGGCTGTTGTTTGTGGCCTGTGAAATGTTGTCTCACTCCTCTTCAATGCCTGTGCGAAGTTGCTGGATATTGGCAGGAACTGGAACACGCTGTCGTACACGTCGATCCAGAGCATTCCAAACATGCTCAATGGGTGACATGTCTGGTGAGTATGCAGGCCATGATAGAACTGGGACATTTTCAGCTTCCAGGAATTGTGTACAGATCCTTGCAACATGGGGCCGTGCATTACCATGCTGAAACATGAGGTGATGACGGCGAACAAATGGCACGACAATGGGCCTCAGGATCTCATCACGGTATCTCTGTCCATTCAAATTGCAATCGATAAAATGCAATTGTGTTCGTGAAGAGCATACTTCTCCAGCGTGCCAGTGGCCATTGAAGGTGAGCATTTCCCCACTTAAGTCGGTTATGACGCCGAACCGTAGTCAGGACAAGAACCTGGTGAGGACGACGAGCACGCAGATGAGCTTCCCTGAGACGGTTTCTGACAGTTTGTGCAGAAATTATTTGGTTGTGCAAACCCACAGTTTCATCAGCTGTCCAGGTGGCTGGTCTCAGACAATCCCGCAGGTGAAGAAACCCGACGTGGAGGTCCTGGGCTGGCATGGTTACACGTGGTCTGCGGTTGTGAGGCCATTTGGACGTACTGCTAAATTCACTAAAACGACGGAGGCGGCTTATGGTAGAGAAATTAACATTACATTTTCTGGCAACAGCTCTGGTGGACATTCCTGCAGTCAGCATGCCAATTGCATGCTGCCTTAAAACTTGAGACATCTGTGGCATTGTGTTGTGTGCCAAAACTGCACATTTTAGAGTGGAATTATATCGTCCCCAGCTCAAGTAATGATCATGGTATTTAATCAGCTTCTTCATATGCCACACCTGTCAGGTGGATGGATTATGTTGGCAAAGGAGAAATGCTCACTAACAGGGATGTAAACAAATTAGTGCACAAAATTTGAGAGAAATACGCTTTTTTTTTCAATGTAGGCAAATATGTTTTTACACTGAACAAAAATATAAAAGCAACATGTTAAGTGTTGGTCCCATGTTTCATGAACTGAAACAAAAGATCCCATAAAAATGTCCATACACACAAAAAGCGTATTTCTCTCAAATTTTGTGCACTAATTTGTTTACATCCCTGTTAGTGAGCATTTCTCCTTTGCCAACATAATCCATCCATGTCTCCTGAGTGGCGCAGTGGTCTAAGGCACTGCATCGCAGTGCTAACTGTGCCACTAGAGATCCTGGTTCGAATCCAGGCTCTGTCGCAGCCGGCCGCGACCGGGAGACTCATGGGCGGCGCACAATTGGCCCAGCGTCGTCCAGGGTAGGGGAGGGAATGGCCGGCAGGGATGTAGCTCAGTTGATAGAGCATGGCGTTTGCAATGCCAGGGTTGTGGGTTCAATTCCCACGGGGGGCCAGTATAAAAAAATATGTATTCACTAACTGTAAGTCGCTCTGGATAAGAGCGTCTGCTAAATGACTAAAAATGTAAAATGTAAATGTTGAAGAACAAGTTCAGAAGTTGTCATGCAACAGGACCACAGAAGTCGCTGACACAATGCGGTCTGCAGGATAGCTTCTGCTTTTTCTGACCGCAGACGGTTGAGACTGCAGGACCCTGTCTGGTTCCTTCTTATAGACCGTGGCAAGGGGGGCACTTCTCTTTCCACACAAGACCGTGGCTGGGGGAGGTTGCATGGGTCTACAGTACGCCGATAGATGACAATATCCATCCGGACGTTTGGGGGGCGCGGAATGTTCCCCAATGATGAAAGGGGGGCATGAGTGAAAAAGTTTTGGAAGCACTTATCTACATGACTGCTTAAAGACGAACAGACCACTCTCACATGGGTGCATCTCAATAGTCTAAAGTAGCTTCCTCTCCTCCAATGTTATTTAAATATCTCAAAACATACAGAGGAAGCAAATTAAATTCATTGCAGATGAAGACAGGGGGGGATGAGAAGATGAAGCCCTATAAGACTATTTTAACATTTTGAATACACCATAATAACACCCTGAGTTTCTTCTCACCACCTGACTTGACCAGGAAAAACTCTGGGCCCTAGTGTTAATACTTTAGGCCCTAAAAGCAAAAGGCCCAAAGATTCGGTCTGGTCTGGTGGGGCCTGGTGCATACTATTGATCTGCCACTGTCAATTATATCTAAAGATGGCCTCCCAGTGTTCCTAACCTGAGCGCATCAATCTTCAGGCCAGGGAGGGGGGGTTTGGGCGGGGCTATGTCCTCCTCTGCCATGTCCATCACAGCCTCGGTGGGTGTGGTCTTACTCAGGATCTCCCTCTCCCGTTCCGTCAGGGGCAACTCGGATGTGCTGGGGACATAACAGGGGAATGTGTTAGTGTGTGGGTGAGAGTGAGTGAGTGAGAGTGAGAGAAATGGTCAAGTCTGGTGTGCACGCACGTCCACTTACCTCTCAGGTGTGGCAATAGGTGGTGGTGGTGGTTTGTTGGGGGTGGTGGGCGAGGCCTGCTCCTGTTTCTCTATGGTGAGTTTGACCAGCTCCTGTTAGAAAAGCACACAACTCCAGTCAACATCTATTGATATTCATTTAATGTACATTACACACTACAACTACTATTATAAGTGGTGGCAATTTATTATAAGGGACAGACCTAAGTTAAATTCTTGTCAAATACACTATCATATTGAATTACTTTTGAAAGAATTTGACCAGGTCTCCCTTGGGAAAGAGGTCTTCTGACCTCAACGGGACTACCTGGTTAAACAAAAATACATTTGAGATGCACTTGATTTAGCTTGGCATTTGTACTTTTGGGACCTATACAATGGTGCCATTGTACCAGGCAAACTAAATCAACTACAGCTTAAGTATTTGAAAGTAGGCCTATTTGACAAATGTATTCGACCCAGGTCTGCAAGGGAGAAACAGGGACTACGCCCCTCTTTGAGAGCCCCGGAGAGCTGAAAGCTATCGTTTCACGGTCCCACGACCGTCCCTACTCACCTTGACCCCGTCTAGCACAGCCTTGATAACGGTGGTGACCGCGACCACGTTGTCCTTGTCGTCCAGGTCGATGTCGTCCAGCATGACCTGGTCGGACCAGCGGATCAGGTTGGCCAGGCTCTGGTACACACGGTTGTGACACGACGACACTGCCGAACTAAGGAGAGATAAGGAGGAAGTCGCCAGTGATAGGTGAGATGGGGGGGGGGTGGAGAATGGAAAGATAGATATGGAGAAAAAGTGGGAGGGTGTGGAAAAGTAGAGTGATGGCACGGTTACAGAGAAAAGAGGGAATGAAGGAAGGGTGGAAAGAGAATGGTAAAAGGGAAGAGAGAGTGGGGGTGTGGGGGAAGACATTTAATGTCAGACTCCATAGATTGAGAATACAGACAATTAGACTAAAGGATTACTAGGGAATCTTTTCACCAGCTCTGTGACTGAGGCAGCCATATGTATCCACACAGGGGGTTAACTCAATATTTCCCCTGAGGGGTATGTGTGTCTGTGTGTGTGTGTGTGACTGTGTGTGTGCATGCATGCATGTGTGACTGGAAAAGGTGTGTTTTGTGGTGGTATTAAGTGGAGAATGTGTTTGTGTGCTGGGAGGGAATTGTCTGGTTGGTAACTACAGTATAGTGCCTGTGCTGAACTGAGCATTGAGAAACAGTAGGGTGTGGTGGAGGTTCAGACCAGTCCCAACACGCTGCAGCTGATTCACAACTCTGGAATATCCCTCCACTGCTTCTACAGGATACAGCTCATAGAAATATAATCTATAGAACGGGCCTCCCCATGAGTTTACTAGTCAAATTGTCAGGGTTAGAGGTTCCAAGCCCCGTCTATAGATTATATTTCTATGACACAGCTACAGTTGGGCTGGGGGCTGCATGGGCACAGTGGAGCCTAAGACTGGGGCTAAGGCTAGTGGCCAGGATGAACTAACTACACGGGCAAGAGGAGAGTCAAGCAATAACAACTGGGGCCATATTCATAAAGCATCTCAATCAATTGTTCCTTTTAAATCACAATGAATAAGGTTACATGGACTCTTTATGAATATGGGCACTGGACCAGGGTTCTTCCAGAAGCAGAGGCGTAGTTTCTGAGGCTGGGGTGTGATCGGTGATCTAGACCTGTATGGTTCAGACGATAGGTCTGTTGACTTGGGGAGTGCGAGTTTGACCTCTAGGGTCCTGAGAAGTAATATTGGGTTTGGGGTCTGTGGCTGGAATGGCACAAAGAGGCCGAGGTGTGTGTGTGAGTTGAGGTGGTCAGACCCCCAGAGACCCATTCCTCAACCACTGTAAGCACTATCCATCACTCAGCACTAAAAACAGGGCCCAGATACAAAACCTGTCACCTCTGACCCCCTTTAACAATGACTGATGGCGCCGCGCTAGCAGCACGCTAGTTCTGACACGCACAGCCATTCCAGAGGAGAGAACTCCAAGTATCTTTTACAGGGCTCTACAAAGACAGACTGTTCTAGAAAATATATTGTTAAGTGAAGGATTTGTTCTGGGCCGTATTCATTTGGCACCAAACGGAAGAAAACGGACTGAAACAGGGTGAGGGACTACCTGAACTTTGTTTTCCGTTGCAAAACTGTTTGTTACGGTGTGCACTAATGAATGCGACCCTGTTCTGTTTCTAACCAGCTGTAGGTGTTCTAAACAGCTACGGTCTATGACATTTTCCCCCATTCACATTCCAGATGAGGAGATTAATAGGGACAACATGAACATGATGGTATGAAATACCTGACCTATCGAAAGGTCCAGGAAGCCTAAGGTGATTATGCCTCACTATTAGGCTTGAGCAATACCCCACACACTGCTGTATTTATACATACCGTCGGTATGATTTTCAATACGGGGGTGCGTGCTATGCCACTCTTTATAACTATGAGTTAACTATCTAAAATGTGCCAAATAAATTATATCCAGCTCAGGGCTCCAGCTATGCATTTGGTTTGCTAACTTGCTAGCTAAGTGGCTAGATCAAGCTTCTTGGTTACAGCAGAGACAATCAATCCTCTCCTGGATCAAGATCCTAAATTGTTTTGTGCGCCCAAATGTATTATTATTATTTTTATTTATAAAGAAATAGCACCCCTTGTGTGCACTTCCGGTAATACCGGAAGAGCTCTATCATACTATCCAGGTCTGTGCCCAAACAGTTTGAGCTTCTACTTCTAAAAATCCACCTTTCCAGAAATAAGTCTCTCACTGTTGCTGCTTGCTACAGACCCCCCTCAGCCCCCAGCTGTGCCCTGGACACCATATGTGAATTGATTGCCCCCCATTTATCCTCAGAGTTCGTACTGCTTGGTGACCTAAATTGGGATATGCTTAATACCCCGGCCATCCTACAATCCAAACTAGATGCCCTCAATCTTACGCAAATTATCAACGAACCTACCAGGTACAACCCTAAATCCGTAACCATGGGTACCCTCATAGATATCATCCTGACTAACTTACCCTCTAAATACACCTCCGCTGTCTTCAACCAGGATCTCAGCGATCACTGCCTTATTGCCTGCGTCCGTAACGGGTCCGCGGTCAAACGACCACCCCACATCACTGTCAAACGCTCCCTAAAACACTTTAGCGAGCAGGCCTTCCTAATTGACCTGGCCCAGGTATCCTGGATGGATATAGATCTCATTCCGTCAGTAGAGGATGCCTGGTTGTTCTTTAAAAGTAATTTCCTCTCAATCTTAAATAAACATGCCCCATTCAAAAAATACAGAACTAAGAACAGATATAGCCCCTGGTTCTCCTCAGACTTGACTGCCCTTGACCAGCACAAAAACATCCTGTGGCGTACGGCATTAGCATCAAATAGCCCCCGCGATATGCAACTTTTCAGGGAAGTTAGGAACCAATATACACAAGCAGTCAGGAAAGCAAAGGCTAACTTTTTCAAACAGAAATTTGCATCCTGTAGCACTAACTCCAAAAAGTTTTGGGACACTGTAAAGTCCATGGAGAATAAGAGCACTTCCTCCCAGCTGCCCACTGCACTGAGGCTAGGAAACACTATCACCACCGATAAATCTACAATAATCGAGAATTTCAACAAGCATTTTGCTACGGCTGGCCATGCTTTCCACCTGGCTACCACTACCCCGGCCACCAACTCTGCACCCTCCGCTGCAACTTGCCCATGCCCCCCCCGCTTCTCCTTCACACAAATTCAGACAGCTGATGTTCTGAAAGAGCTGCAAAATCTGGACCCCTACAAATCAGCTGGGCTAGACAATCTGGACCCTTTCTTTCTAAAACTAGCCGCCGAAATTGTCGCAACCCCTATTACTAGTCTGTTCAACCTCTCTTTCGTAACGTCTGAGATCCCCAGAGATTGGAAAGCTGCCGCGGTCATCCCCCTCTTCAAAGGGGGTGACACTGTAGATCCAAACTGTTACAGACCTATATCCATCCTGCCCTGCCTTTCGAAAGTATTTGAAAGCCAAGTTAACAAAACAGATCACCGACCATTTCGAATCCCACCGTACCTTCTCCGCTATGCAATCCGGTTTCCGAGCTGGTCATGGGTGCACTTCAGCCACGCTCAAGGTCCTAAACGATATTATAACCGTAATCGATAATAGACAGTACTGTGCAGCCGTCTTCATCGACCTGGCCAAGGCTTTCGACTCTGTCAACCACCGCATTCTTATTGGCAGACTAAATAGCCTTGGTTTCTCAAATGACTGCCTCGCCTGGTTCACCAACTACTTCTCAGATAGAGTTCAGTGTGTCAAATCGGAGGGCCTGTTGTCTGGACCTATGGCAGTCTCTATGGGGGTGCCACAGGGTTCAATTCTTGGGCCGACTCTTTTCTCCGTGTATATCAATGATGTCGCTCTTGCTGCTGGTGACTCTCAGATCCACCTCTACGCAGACGACACCATTTTGTATACATCTGGCCCTTCATTGGACACTGTGTTAACAAACCTCCAAACGAGCTTCAATGCCATACAACACTCCTTCAGTAGCCTCCAACTGCTCTTAAACACTAGTAAAACTAAATGCATGCTCTTCAATCGAACGCTGCTGGCACCCGCCCACCCGACTAGAATCACCACTCTCGACGGGTCTGACCTAGAGTATGTGGACAACTACAAATACCTAGGTGTCTGGTTAGACTGTAAACTCTCCTTCCAGACTCACATTAAGAATCTCCAATCCAAAGTTAAATCTAGAATCGGCTTCCTATTTCTCAACAAAGCCTCCTTCACTCATGCTGCCAAACATGCCCTCGTAAAACTGACTATCCTACCGATCCTTGACTTCGGCGATGTCATTTACAAAATAGCCTCCAACACTCTACTCAGCAAATTGGATGTAGTCTATCACAGTGCCATCCGTTTTGTCTCCAAAGCCCCATACACTACCCACCACTGTGACCTGTACGCTCTTGTTGGCTGGTCCTCACTCCATGTTCGTCGTCAAACCGACTGGCTCCAGGCCATCTATAAATCACTGCTAGGCAAATCCCCGCCTTATCTTAGCTCATTGGTCACCATAGCAGCACCCACCCGTAGTCTGCGCTCCAGCAGGTATATCTCACTGGTCATCCCCAAAGCCAACACCTCCTTTGGCCGCCATTCCTTCCAGTTCTCTGCTGCCAATGACTGGAACGAATTGCAAAAATCTCTGAAGCTGGAGACTCTTATCTCCCTCACTAACTTTAAGCATCAGTTGTCAGAGCACCTTACCGATCACTGCACCTGTACACAGCCCATCTGAAATTAGCCCACCCAACTACCTCATCCCTATATTGTTATTTATTTTGCTCTTTTGCACCCCAGTATCTCTATTTGCACATAATCTCTTGCACATCTAGCATTCCAGTGTTAATACTAATTGTAATTATTTTGCACTATAGCCTATTTATTGCCTTACCTCCATAACTTGCTACATTTGCACACACTGTATATATATTTTCTGTTGTATTTTTTGACTTTATGTTTTTTTACCCCATATGTAACTCTGTGTTGTTGTTTTTATCGCACTACTATGCTTTATCTTGGCCAGGTCGCAGTTGTAAATGAGAACTTGTTCTCAACTGGCTTACCTGGTTAAATAAAGGTGAAATAAAAAATAAATTAAAAAAATACCCCGGTATGGTACACAAATGGTATGACGGTATGAAAATCTGGATACCACCCACCCCTACTCACTATTATTTCAAGTGTAGATCCTGATAATGTTGCAACATCTGTACTCGTTTTAGAGAAAAGTTACAACAGGACACGTCAATCGCAGCCACAAGCAGCTAGCTAGCAGTTAGCGATCACACCATTGGATTTGTGCCACAAATACTAAAAAGTTAGCATTTAAAACAGTGGCCAGGTAAACAAAACTAAAGCATGGATTGCTGTCATACCTTGTCCATAGACTGCTTACAGGTTAAGGAAACCAATAGATCATTTTTGTAATTTGGGTGAGCTATCCCTTTCAGTTAGGTCTTGGGGGCACCTTTTGTTTATGTTATTTTGTGGAAAATCTGCAAGAATGTTCTGTGATGTAGCACGAAGCCCATCTCACTAAGCTGCAACATGCCTAGGCTACAATACACGATAAGTTACAGACTAAGATCCCACTAACCTATGCTAAGCCCATCTACTTTTACCTGCATACTATTTTGCATGCTAGCCCCCTATGACATTGAAAACACGTTGCAAATACATATTTTTGATTGAAAATATGCATTTTCAATCAAAAAGATGCATTTTCAACGTCTTGTGCTCACTATAAGCCCTTCTACATTCTCAGCCCATGTACCTGTGTGTTATCCGGGCCTCCACCTGCACCAGTGGTAGGATGGCCTCCAGGACCTTGCTGGCCGAGCCGGGCAGCATCTCCAGCACCTTCTTCTCCACCACAATCTTGTCAACGATGGTCTTGAAGTAGCGCAGAGCGCTCACCACCTCCTTCTCCTGCTCCTCCAGCCGACTCACCTTCTACAGAACAGAATGAATGAAAATCATGGTCAGCTTAGAGGAAATCTTGGTCGTGTTCAGTAGGGAACGAAAGGATGGAAACAGAGTGAATCTGGGAGGTACTATTTGAACCTGTTGTCATTTTCTATCGCAATAATCGATCACCATTGGCGTCGACTAATGGGGATCCTAATAAATCAAATCAAATAATGGCCCTAATGAACACAATGAAACATGGTAACTTGGAGGAAATCAGCTTCATATGATATAATAATTGATGGATGGAAAAAATGTGCATTTTCAAAGGAAGCTTAATCCAGGCCTTAAAGCAGGGGTGTTGATAGATTAATTTGTATTTTAAGAATAATGACTAAAGGATTTCACCCCAAATACAGTATAAATGTGTGAACGGTGTTAGAGTTATAATGTAGTGTCAACCCACTAACAGAGGGGGAGGAGTTAGAAACTGCTGAGAAAGCATTCCAGGGTGAAGGGGACTGAGAAGCTGTTTAAAGGTGGGCGGAGCAAAGTGCCTTTGTGTGTCAGGGGGTATAAAGGCTGTGTATGTATTTTTTGGCGCCAGAGCTCTCCATGATTAAAACATACAGATCATTCTTGTTGGTTGCGGACCTTTGTTTAATTCATGATTAAACCAGAGCCTTACACCCTCTGGGAATTATTCAAAGCATTAAGTTTGATTAATTTGAGATATAAATTCTCGTGACAGGTGTCTAAACAATTTTGCCCAGGGACCGCATTCGGTCTTCAACGAGGTCGGGAGGGCCGCAATTAAAATGTGTTATTTTTCCTTGACGTCAAAATTTGCAGAAAATAGTCCATTATCCATTGTTTTTGGAATTCTCAATGTCCCCTGACTGTCTAGTCATTATTAGCGAGCTGCACAGTCATTAAACTGTATGAATATAGGTCCATTATAATTTCTACATCGTTTTGATTTGGTTTTAGTCATTTTAAAAAAGTATATTGAGTTCGTTTTTTACTCAAACCACACGCGGGCCGGATTGGGCAGTAAGTCTGTCACCCCTGCCTTAATCTGGATTTTGGCAATGAAGCACTTTATCTACTTCCCCAGAGTCGGATGAACTCATGGATACCATTTGTATGTACCTGCGTCCAGTATGAAGGAAGTTAGAGGTAGTTTCGCAAGCCACTGCTAACTAGCGTTAGCGCAATGACTGGAATTTGTTTTTTCAATTAAGACATGGACAACCAGGTAAGGGAAGTTCCTTACTAATTAGTGACCTTATTTCATCAATCAAGTACAAGGGAGGAGCGAAAACCCGCAGACACTCGGCCCTCTGTGGAATGAGTTTTTGACACGTCTTAAAGCTTTTATGAAAGGCTTATTAGTAGGAGGATAGGTTACTGGCAATGATGTATATAACCCTGGATTGCTGATGCTATGTATTGGACAGTGAGAGGTGTTGAAGCAACCAGTTGACCATATTGTCACTCCCCAGAAGAAGCAGTCCTCCAAAAAGGAATGAAACAATTTTAATTTAAGGAAAAAATTATCTTTTATTTTTTATAAATGTTTATGTTTACCTCAAATAATATTATTTAAAAGTATGCATTAAGGTGTCTAATATAATAAACGTGGCACAAACAAATGTAGACATTAATAAATGCATTTCTATAGCTTCCAAAATAAAATAAAATACAATGGTGGGTGAGCGCCAAGATGGAGGCCCGGTGGCTTCAAAACAGGACCCCCTATCAGTCATCTAGTGTATATATAAATCATTGATTATTGGCCATTTGGTTTTCAACCTCACAAGGAGGGATTTTCCTGTCCCGGATGGATAATTTCTTTCTTAATATGCTTAAACTTGATTCAACTTGTCATTACATTTTTCTATAGGCTATTGATATTGTTTGTTCCCTCTCTTTACTAGGGACTGTACATTGTTTATAATGAGGGATACCTGGAGAAAATGGATGGCCCTCCCTTCAGTAAAATATATTTTTACCCGAACCACCCTGAACGCTTGATAAAAACAACAAGTGACCCTCCCCTATACCCAAAATAATATTGAAATCAAAGTGGATAGCAGAGAACCAGCCTACCGTTCACCCTCACTCCTAGGACAGACCAGAGCCTTAGATATGCAGTTTTAGAAACAGTTCTCTGTTTTGTAAGCATTACATGGCAATGTAGTCAGAAGGTTGTGGATTCGCAAACCACCGTGGACAAGGGTAGGGGTGAAAAGATATCCATTATATTACAAGTATTGCATGAATCTATCATCTTATTTACTGTCCGAGAAAAAAATGTATTTTATAAAAGCATTTCATAACTCATTTTACATGACTGGAGACAAGCAGAATCTTGTTTAATACCACAACAGAGTATGACAACGAATGAGCGCATGCTCCAGCACCGAAGACATTTTGATTTCTATACAGGCTATTGTTAAAAAATAGGATAGTCTAAGTTTGGAACAGTGCTAAAGTTGTCTAACAACTGTAAAAATTGAGCACAACAGAACCAGTTACAACTGAAGTATCTGATCACCAATGAATTCAAGAAAAAGCCATTTGTTGTTTAACACAGCAGCCGCATATCATCAGGTATGCCTATATGCATCAGGTAGGCCTTCTATTCCATGAGATTGTTGTTACAAAATAGATTTGTGTTGACTGTGATTAGGGCATGGGAATATAAGAGAATCTGCTAGGCTAAATTAACGAACTAGGCATGCATAGCTCACCGCCTGATCCTCAAACCAAAGACTGACCAAACTCGTGTTTCTAAAAGGGAATTCAAAAGGCACTGTGTAGCCTAATAAGGCATTTTCCATTTCATTATTATTTAATTCTAAGTAATCCTTTTTTTTAATGTATTCACTACAAAGATACAAGCGTCCTTCCTAACTCAGTTGCTGGAGAGGAAGGAAACCAACCGCTCAGGGATTTCACCATGATGCCAATGGTGACTTTAGTTACAGAGTTTAATGGTTGTGATAGGAGAAAACTGAGGATGGATCAAAAACATTGTAGTTACTCCACAATTCTAACCTAATTGACAGAGTGAAAAGAAGAAGCAATTCACTTTTTTTCCTGAATAGAAAGTGTTATGTTTGGGGCAAATCTAATACAACACATTACTGAGTAACACTCAATATTTTCAAGCATAGTGGTAACTTCATGGGTATGCTTGTAATCGTTAAGGACTGGGGAGTTTTTCAGGATAAAAAAATATACAAAACCCTAGAGGAAAACCTGGTTCAGTCTGCTTTCCACCAGACACTGGGAGATGAATTCACCTTTCAGCAGGACAATAACCTAAAACACAAGGCCAAGAAGACAGTGAATCTTCTTGAGTGGCCGAGTTAAAGTTTTGACTTAAATCTACAACAAAATATATGGCAAGACCTGAAAATGGTTGTCTAGCAATGATCAACAACCAACTTGACATAGCTTAAGGAATTTTGAAAGAATAATGGGCAAATGTTGCAAAATCCAGGTGTGGAAAGCTCTTAGAGACTTACCCAGAAAGACTCACAGCTGTAATCGCTGCCAAAGGTGCTTCTACAAAGTATTGACTCAGGGGTGTGAATACTTATGTAAATTAGATATCTGTATTTAATTTTCAATAAAAGTGGCTAACATTTTTTAAAACATGTTTTCACTTTGTCGTTATGGGGTATTGTGTGTAGATGGGTGAGAAAAAATATATATTTAATCCATTTTGTATTCAGGCTGTATGAATAATTTCTGAAGGCACTGTAGGTCAGTTGAGCAACATTTCAAAATGGAATTTCTACTGTAACTGCTGTTAAAAAAAGAGGATTGACTCAGCTTTATGTGAGTATAACTATTATTTCTCAACTATCAATATTTAGGACATAACTCCACTTTACAAACAGAGTACGCAATTCAGATGACGCCCTGGAGGAACAGAGCGGAGTGTGCCATTTGCGGTGAAATTACTGTTAGATCAATTGCATGGCTATCTAGCAACAATATCATATTTAGAGTTAGCAATCTAGGCCAAAACGCACAAAAGAGATGCAGGTAAATTCATCTATAAAGAGCCAAAAAGAGAAATCTGATTATTCTGGCATGTTGCACATCTGCATTCCCTGAACACGTTAGATGAAAAAGTCAACTCCTTGTATGTCCTACTTGGCACTGGAAAAGGTCAGTCTAGAGCCCTAATGAAAAGTAACTGTGCATAAAAAAACAAAACGTATTTATCGTTAGGACAAAATGGGTCAACTTATCACGAAATTACTTTTGTATTGCTCTACCTCCCACCCACCCACCTTGTTGACAGGTTTCTCTTGGCTCTTGACGGCTGACTCGACCTGCAGCTGCTTGCCCTTCTTCGATGGGGTCCTCTTGATCTTGGGAGAGTGGAACTTGTCCTTCAGCTTCATGGTGAAGGAGGAGAGGTGAGAGCGCTGCGAGTCTTAGGAGGAGGAGAGGAAAACAGGGATGAGACATCGGTTAGAGGAGAAGGAATGGCAGAGAGGGGGGATGGAAGTGGCCTGAAGTAGATATGTTGGACTTTGGCACCATAGTACATTTCAGAGAAGTAGGCTAAACCACAGACAAGGGTCATGTTCAGCAGGCACAAAATGGAAGAAAACTGTCTGAAACGGGGAGTTACTATCTGAACTTGTCCAAGAGAAAACACTCATTTTCGTTTTCTTTGCAAACCATTTTGCTACGGTGTGCCATAATGAACGCCAACCAGGCTAAAATATAAGGAAGAGACAAAACAATAGGAATAAGTGGCAGATAAATAAGAAACAGTGCCAATCAATGATCATAGCCCTGACAAAATGCCATTGCTGTAGCTGTGTGTGCCAGCGCAGTAGGGCCCAGTAGTAGCAGCCAGGCTGGTGTAGTCCTATCTGTCTGTGTACAGCTGAGGGTACAACAGAGATGCTATCAGGTCTAATCATGTTCACATTTCCACAGCTTCCCCTGATTGATAACACTGCTGCTGGTCGCAGTCTAGTCTGGTCGACTCACTACCAGGCTCTGCTCCTATCTTGGAGAGGCCAGGCTGATAGGGAGTGCGTGGACACACGCATACAGGAGCTAACAGACACACAGGCGCTCAAGCATGCGCATGCACACACTGAAAAATGGTGTTGTCCTGGACAAAATGTACAAATAATTGTTAAGCATGAGGCAGGTAATATTATAATAAAATATAATGGCTTTTTTATTTAGGTTTAGTGAAATTACTGTTAATCTTACCAAAAATATAATAGTCAGACAATTGGTTATCATCATTATATAAGAAATTGTGTTTTTCATTTGAAATGCCAGAATATGATTACTGATTTAAAGACAGAAGTAACTAAATAATGAGTAAAAATAATTATGTTGTCTATTTGGGAATCATTAAAGCTAAACTAAGTAAGTCTCATTCATTCTAAATGGCTATTCTAAATATTACAAAGGAGTCGAATGATGGAACACCCAATACTAGCCATGGTAGGGATTGTAATAAAAAAAATATAGAAAAGCAATCAAATACAACAATTGTTAAAGAAATAAACTACAACTACACTATACCATTCTAGATAGGGAATGTTGGAAAATAATTAGTATTAGACTTTCCATTTATAGTATTTCATAAATTGATAAGACAGCATTAGAAGGAAGGATAATTAGTGAAATAATCCATCTTCAAATATAAGGAACTGGAACACAAAAGTAATCAACATGGTAGAGATAAAACACAGCAAACAGAGGACATAGAAGGCACAGTATGTGGGTATGTGCGGATGTATTGTGATGGAAGGTGGGGTGTGTGTTTTTTGGAAAAGTTTGGAGTTAAGTGAGTTAAAAATGATAATGGTTGCAAATCCCAGAGCCCATGTGTGTTTGTGAGCAGGGGTTGTGAGAGAGAGCTTTCAATTTTGTGCAGATATGGGATATACATTTTAAAATAAATTATAAATATAGTTTATTTATTTATTGTGCTATCATGATGGAACGGTCCCCAACCCTATGCCCTAGACACCCACCTGAGCAACCAATACACTAAGGAGAAGTCCTTATCTGTTTTATGGGCCTACTGTCAGTAGCCTATACGCAGCCAAATCAGAAAGATGAATGCGGTCAGAGACCTACTAAAGCAGTACCGCCCCCTCAACATTCTGAGCCTGCCTGGCAGGGTTGGTCCTACAAAGCCAAAGCCCCCTGATGGGAGAACATAATATACAAGGAAATTCTCAAAGCTGCTAATGAGAACCTTGACGAACTTGTACTTAGCCGGTGGGGATTCCAGTGGGGTGCCCCCACCCAGGTAGTGGCAGTGCTGCAACACTAGCTGCAGAAACCCATGGGGAGGGGAGGGTCACACTCTGACATTCAGAGAGGGGGCATATTATTGTGGCCCTGGTGGCACAAAATAATCAAAGGTCTGACTGCACAGAGATGCTTGGGAAAATGGTCAAAACGGGGGACCAGCGTGTGTGCGTTTCAGGGGAAGGGGGTGTATCATGATCTCCATCACCTAGGACTTGACAATGGTTAATCAAATCTCCCCATTTTGCCCGTTTTTGCATGCCTTCTCAAACAGCTGCAACTGTATATGCATTCATAAATCAAGTCCTTTCTTGAGTTGGGCTCTGGGATGGAACAACTGTTGAGCATTGAGTTTATGGTTGTTTGTGGGGGAAAGGGGTTGAGTGTGTATGAGTGTTTTTGTGTGTGTTTGTATGTATCCCACAACTGTGGCTAGGGAGTAAAGACATTAGGGACAATATAGGATGATTCACAATAATTGTTTGCTAAAATAATAATTGCTTGCCAAAAATGCAATTTTTGTAATGGCAATCCTGGTTAGAGGTAACAATCCTTTGCATGAGTCAGTAGAAAGGCCTCTTTAGTGTCTTAAGTTTTCATAACTGTGACCTTAATTGCCGACCGTCTGTAAGCTGTTAGTGTCTTAATGACCATTCCACAGGTGCATGTTCATTAATTGTTTATGGTTCATTGAACAAGCATGGGAAAAAGTGTTTAAACCCTTTACAATGAAGATCTGTGAAGTTATTGGGATTTTTACGAATTATCTTTGAAAGACAGGGTCCTGAAAAAGGGACATTTCTTTTTTTGCTGAGTTTATAATAATTTGTCAACCCTACAAGCAATACAAGACTAATTTTTTTCACTTTTGTTTTGGTCATTTGGCCACTACCCAATGGCAGAGTCATTTTGCAGAGTTTCCCCAAGCCGCTGACAGATTGTTAAAGAGATTTAGGAGAGAGGGGAGCGATCCACGCTTCTCTCCTCCCGGGTGAATTCCCCCTTCCCCCCCATCTTCTCCCTCTCTACCTCCCTCTGTCTGCTGCACACACAGACCGACAGAGGCAGGAGATAAATAATAAACAGCCCTATTGTAAGCCACCAGGAAAGAGAGGTAAAAGAGAAAAAAAGCCATTCTCCTCTTCATCCCTCTCTTCCTCCATCTCCTTACAACCAGCCCTTGAAAGCAGCCATAGATCACCAGGCTTCTATCTAGAACAAGTAGCCAGCGTTTGGTGTTGTCGTTATGAGACATCCATCCAGTATGACTCCTAGACACACCTCCCTAGGAGGAGAGCTAGAAATAATATTGAGATATCCATCCAGTTATATATAGCTATCATGACCCCATTTAGCCTTTAACCCTCAATTTAATTCAGTCTATTTCTCTGAATTATGATTCAACAGTGTACTATTATTTGATCCAACATCTAGCCTGATATCAACATGACTGGCTGCCCCCAAACTACAATGCTCAGATCATGTCTTGACATTCATTCAAGAGATAGAAACTGCCTCACTCGTTTTCAATTCTAAGGGCAACGCAATTAACTTCAGTTAAAAAAGCAGGGACCATGACAAAAGGTGGTACTGGTGGTACCTAATACACATGAAATGGCCTAAAATCACAAAGGCTGAAAGACAGTAGAGCTTCAGATAGGCAGCTATTAGCTAGTGTTCTCTTTAGAGGGGATAGCCTATTAAAAGTGTGCGTGTTCTGTCTGTGTCTGTCTCTTTTAGTGCCAGCAGCAGTGGAACAGAGAGAGGGACTGTCTAGACACATGCAGTACAAACCCCGGGGGAAGAGAGACAACGCAACACACTGCTGTTCCTGTTTCTCTCTGGCTTGATCAATAGTCTCTCAGACTAGGTGCACCTTTTAGAGCAGTGGTCATCACTTTCTGAGTCAAAACGGAAGCCGAGATCTACCATTCAGATTTTTTTACATGACTTAAAAAATGTAAGCCTATGTAACATTAACATATTTAAAAATAGGCTTAAAACATTATCACAACATTTTGGCTTTGCTTGAATTGCCCTGCCAATGCATTGCTGTTTTTCTCAGATCATTTAACAAATATATATTTCAACATCTGAGGTAGGCTAAATGATCACACCGGTAACATATCAGTTTTTGTATTACTTGTGAGGTACAGCTGAGTGAGCATATCTTGTTATAATTTGCTTTTTTTTTTATTTTACTGGATGGAGCCTGCATCTGATGGTCAGTCTCTGCGTAGGGAGAGGGCAGCAGACTCAGAAAAGAGGTGAAATATTTTAAAAGTTATCCTTTTAAGATAAAACTATACTAAATATTTTCATATCACCAAATAATTGATTAAAACACACTGTTATGCAAAGAAGGTCTACAGTAGCCTCAACAGCACTCTGTAGGGTAGCGCCATCGTGTAGTCGGAGGACCGATAGTTTCCGTCCTCTTCTGGGTACATTGACTTCAATACAAAACCTAGGAGGCTCATGGTTCTCACCCCGTTCCATAGACAATTATGACAACTTCCGGAGGATGTCCTCCAACCTATCAGAGCTCTTGCAGCATGAAATGACATGTGTCCACCCAATCAAAGGATCAGAGAATAATTCTAGTACTGAAAGCATAAGCTACAGCTGGATGGAGAAGCAACAGAGAGAGAGAGCTAGCTATATTTTGTTGCATTTTTTTCACTTTCACTTAGCTAGTGAATGCAGCAAACTAATTTAGCTTACTCAAAACACCCGGTTCATACAGAGAGGGATGCTATGTTCGCTAGCTGGCTATGGATATCCAACACTGTAACTCTTCCAATAAGCTTTTGGTTTTATTAATTTATTGCCATCGGGGCCCGCCGGTGTAACTGCTAAACTGCTTGCTTATTGTACTGCATTATTGTAGTGGTTTACTAACACGTTAGTTATAGTAGCTATGTTGACTATGACCACAGACACAACAATGATAAGATATTTCACCGGATGTATAAATGTGAAGCATCCGGTTGGCGTTTACACTCACTACCAAATATGGTGATGAGAGGAAGCCCAGTGGCCGGCAGTGGGAGAAGATGGAGCGAGATGGATTTTGGCAGACATTATGCAAACTACTCTATGAAATATTTGATCTCCATACAGTTTTCTGTTTCCAAAGCTAGAATCTGTAACAAGCAGAGTGGACTGCGTTTTGTAGACTTTACCCTTTGTTTCTAAGTTTCTAAAAACTGCGTTGTTTAGAAGGAGGGCAAATTGAGTTATTGCACACGCACACAGAGTAGGCGTTTCCTAGCGGAAATATGCAAATAAATGTTAGAACGCGCCAATAGGATCTCACTAGCTCGTCCTTGGCTCTGCCCAACTCCTTGCTTGTTTTACCCACTATGATTCATTTGCTCCCATTGGAAACGACAGGCTCTGGTCTATCTTGGGTTAGTTATAAAAATCATTGGTATGACGTTAGCTAATATGGTGACAACGATGTGGGCTGTGTGTAGCGGTTAGTGGTTATAATATGAAGGTTTGGCTTGGAAAGGTTTCTTAGCCTGGTCCCAGACAGCTGATGTGTTGTGCACTGTAGTCCACAAGCAAAGGGAAAAGGTGAGAGGAGGAGAGAGCGTAGATGTGAGAAGGAATTATACAACGAGCAAAGTGATCATACTCTTTGTGTGTGGCTGCTATGAAAGTGAACTGTGTTAGCGTGTGATCAGGGGTGTATTCATTCAAACAATTCTGTTGAAAAACATTTCTTTAAACGGAAGCAAACGGAACGAAATGGGGATAAACATACTGTACCTGAATCTGTCGAATAGAAACCAACATTTGCAACTGTGGGACAAATGATTACACCCTCGATCAGCTAGGTGCAGGCAAGTGTGCAAGGCGGTATTGAATGTGTCTGTCACCTTGATTAGCCACATTTTTCTCTCAACCTAGTAGCCTAAACCTATCGATGTTACATTGAGCTGGGTGAATGGAATATGAATGTAGTCATCCTATATGATGTTATAGAAATAAAAATATATAATCGTCCTCCCTCATCATAAACGTCACCACCGCCACTGCACTTAACGTCCCTCTGCTCTCCCTTTCCTCTGCTGACACTGACCAAAAAGGGACACCGTCTTCCAGCTGATGGCGAAACTGGAGTCACACCGCATTATTTCTGCCTCATGCACATATTCATGTTGTTACTCCTATGAACTGAGAAAGTGAAATATTCATTGATATTAAAAAAGACCCAAGCCACTAATAATAACAACGCAAGCCTATCGATACACTTTCCTACTCATTCATTACAGCTGGAGTTCTGGTTGTAGAGCGAGTGGAAGTAGGGAGATCGTGCATTTTATGGCTTATAAAAGTGTTGAATAGAAAATGTTGACAGTGCTGAGTAAAAACTTAAACATGAACTCATAGAAACAGCAGCTTTTGAGGAATTCGTTGACAGTCTCTCGCTAAAAATGTAGAAAAATCACAGTATCAACTTTGCTGTAGCGTTCTTTTATGTCTGCTACGTTACGGCAGACACTAATCTGAGCCATCCGATTGGCCAGTGGTAGGCCTACAGCGCACTTGATTTGCTCCCCAGGGCCTGCCAGGAAGGCAGAGTTTGTACCTTCAGACATATGAAATGGTTCAAAATGGGAACACGTCGCCTACCCAGCGCACAGGGCAGCTGAATCGGGTGCACCTACCGCCAACAGCGCGAGACAGACTTTCTGCTCCTGAGCATCCACTGTTCAGTTGAACGCATTCAGTGGAAAACATTTTTGGCATCTCAGATTGTTCTGGCAATTCTCACATTGAACCTTCATTTCAGAGCCCACTCTGGAAATATGATGTACTTGTAGAGTATATTGTCACAAACAATATGTCTTAAAATGAACAAAATCTAAAAGAGTAGTTTTGAGATATTCATATTAATATGTCGGAATAAAGTCATGTAAAAATGTGTATTTCAGAATCTAGACATACTCCATATGTTAGAACACACTATAAGGAGTATAATGAAACAAAGATGTTGTCTGTATTATGTACGGTTCATGGATAATAAGGTCTTCCAGGAGGCATGTATAGGTCTAAGAATTGCCTAAAATGGCCACTTGCATCATGATTTTCAAAGAAATGGTCATTGATACAAATGTACAAAGCATGTCAAACATCCTTCCTCCCAATAAAGCTTCTATGTAAGAACTGGCAGAAATTTGGACACCAAAAATATTTTCTGCTCCCTCTGACGTGGAATCGCCCAATGGTAAATTGCTCATAAGGCCAGAGATCACATGTCCCTATAGTGCATGTATCACTATTTACAGTCAAAGTGACCTCTAACCTCTGACCATAACACCCAGGACCCCATCAGTCAGTCAGCCCAGGGCACGGAAGTGAGGCACAGGGGACCGTGTGTGACGATACATTGGCCTGTATTTCAGTGGCGCCGTTCGCTTACGCAACAATGACAGTCAAAGCAGCAGCACTGAGTCACTCTAGTATCAATACAGCAGAGCAGGCTACCACCATTTATCATCACCCATTGCCAGTTTGTCACACACACACCTGCCTGGCTGCTCACTAGTTCTCATTCTCTGTCACCGGCGGTTGGTTTCTTTCTCTGGTCTCGCGCTCTGTTCTCGCTCGCTCTTGTCTGGTCTCGCTCCCTCTTGTCTGGTCTCTCGATCTCCTCCCTCTCTTTCTCAACTTTTGTCTGACTCGTGTCTTTCTCTCTGGTATCTCGCTCTCTGTATCTCCATCTGCCCCCGCCTCTCTGTCTTTAACCTAGACACTTTACTCAGTGAATGACATGGACAAGTCAATAACAAACAGTGCATTCGGAAAGTATTCAGACCCCTTGACTTTTTCCACATTTTGTTACGTTACAGCATTATACTAAATTTGATTAAATCGTTTTTCCCCCTCATCAAATCTACACACAATTTTTGCAAATGTATAACAAATAAAAACTTAAATATCAGACCCTTTACTCAGTACTTTGTTGAAGCACCTTTGGCAGCGATTACAGCCTTGACTCTTCTTAGGTATGACCATACAAGCTTGGCACACCTGGATTTGGGGAGTTTCTCGCATTCTTCTCTGCAGATCCTCTCAAGCTCTGTCAGGTTGGATGGGGAGCGTTGCTGCACAGCTATTTTCAGGTCTCTCCAGAGATGTTTGATCGGGTTCAAGTCAAGGACATTGAGACTTGTCCTGAAGCCACTCCTGCGTTCTTGGCTGGGTGCTTAGGGTCGTTGTCCTGTTGGAAGGTGAACCTTCGCCCCAGTCTGAGGTCCTGAGTGCTCTGGAGCAGATTTTCAACAAGGATATCTCTGTACTTTGCTCGATCCTGACTAGTCTCCCAGTCCCTGCCGCTGAAAAACATCCCCACAGCATGATGCTGCCACCACCATGCCAGGTTTCCTCCAGATGTGACGCTTGGCATTCAGGCCAAAAGGTTCAATCTTGGTTTCATCAGACCAGAGAATCTTTTTTCTCATGGTCAGAGTCCTTTAGGTGCCTTTTGGCAAACTCCAAGCGGGCTGTCATGTGCCTTTTACTGAGGAGTTGCTTCCGTCTGGCCACTCTATCATAAAGGCCTGACTGGTGGAGTGCTGCTGAGATGGTTGTCCTTCTGGAAGATTCTCCCATCTCCACAGAGGAACTCTGGAGCTCTGTCAGAGTGACCATCGGGTTCTTGGTCACCTCCCTGAACAAGGCCCTTCTCCCCAGATTGCTCAGTTTGGTCGGGTGGCCAGCTCTAGGAAGAGTCTTGGTGGTTCTAAACTTCCATTTAAGAATGATGGAGGCCACTGTGTTTTTGGGGACCTTCAATGCTGAAAAACATTTTTGCTACCCTTCCCCAGAGCTGTGCCTTGACACAATCCTGTCTCAGAGCTCTATGGACAATTCCTTCGACCTCATGGCTTGGTTTTTGCTCTGACATGAACTGTCAACTGTGGGACCTTATATAGACAGGTGTATGCCTTTCCAAATCATGTCCAATCAATTGAATTTACCACAGGTGGACTCCAATCAAGTTGTAGAAACAGCTCAAGGATGATCAATAGAAACAGGATGCACCTGAGCTCAATTTCAAGTCTCATAGCAAAGGGTCTGAATACTTATGTAAATAAGGTATCAGTTGTCTAAAAAACCTATTGTTTTCGCTTTGTCATTATGGGGTATTGTGTGTAGAGTGATGAGGGAAAAAATGTAATTGAATCAATTTTAGAATAAGGCTGAATAAGGCTGTAACGTAACAAAGTGTTACGTTACAGCCAAGGGGTATGAATAATTTCCGAATGCACTGTAACGGTGTCTCATCTCAAGCAGAGAGTAAACGGATGTATTAAAAGGCTTAATTACTATGTCAGGCCTGGGAGGCGTTTACAGCACACACGCACCATGCACCATGCACCATGTCAGTTAACAGATAGACCTGGTCAGTCGTATGTACAGGTGTGATCTCTACCTGACAGCTGCATCCCCTCCCCCTACCCCCACTGTGGTGGTCTGAGGAGAGGGATCACTGTGTTTTGGGTTACTTGCAGCTGTTCACCCACCATTGAACCACAGAGCTAGTAGGTAATGTTCAATTGAAGTGTGTGTGTGTGTGTGTGTGTGTGTGTGTGTGTGTGTGTGTGTGTGTGTGTGTGTGTGTGTGTGTGTGTGTGTGTGTGGAATTGGAGGCTGCTAGGCTAAATGATGACAGAGGGAGGCACACAGGTTCCGGTGCCAGCTGTTAAGTAATGGGAAGAGTTCAATGTGGCCGCCAGTGAGAGATAGAAAGGGGAACAGAGACCGAGAGAAGAGAGAGATAGCGAGAGAGAATATCAGCTAAAAGCAGCGCAGGGATGATTAAATGAGAGTGAATCATCCGCTTAACAAAGCAAGACTCCCCCCATTTCCTCAAAGCACACATTAGCAGAAATTGGTGTGTGGAGAAAGACTAAATGAGAGTTAGCAATCACTTCCCTGTTCTGTTCTCTTCTCTCTGTATTGAGATACAGTACAGTGGGAGGCCGGGAGCTACAGACTCTGTGTGTGTGTGTGTGTGTGTGCGTGTGCGTGTGTGTGTGTGCGTGACACTGTATGACAACACCAGTGATGTAGAAACGTGCATAATTAAAAGCCACCATAAGAAGCATTAAAAACAGCTTCACTAAGAGGCTGACATGAAGAGACTGCACACACACACACCACACTCACACCCAAGGACACCCACGGACACCAGTGCACGCACCGTCTCAATAGCCTGAAATAACTCCGCTGTTGCAATCGTACCCCCGGATCTGAATTGTTGCACGCATGATGCCGAAGGAGGGAAAGTCTGTATGCTGTAAATAAACCCAGCTAGATATAATGTGGTTACGTGAGCAACTTCTGCTATTACCATAACCATGCTTCATACACACGCTAATCTTCGCATAAATGAATACTTACATACTGGAACGCTCCACCATCATGGGTGTACCACATAATGGCAAAATGAATTATAATACAGGATATATCAAGTGTATTACTAAAATAGTGCCGTGAGACCTTGCGGAACAGAGGATAGTGCTCTAAAGTGCAACCAATTTGGTAGCATATGCTGCAAAATATTTTTCTGTGCGACTAGGAGTTTAATTTTGGGAGCCCTGTGCAACTAGTAAAACAATCTCCTAGATAATATTAGTTGTAATAACGAGGCTTCGCTGTACCGTTATTTCCGTTACTACAGCGAAAACGGTTTGCTTATAGCCCAAACAGGTCAAAGGATCTGACCCATATTACCAGCACAACATTTTTAATCTTCCTATAGCGGATCGCTGGGATTGCATTTTTCATTCATAAACCATTCTACTACTCGGGTGTCGTTAACCATTTGTTTACACTTTGTTCAGTCATGTTAACTCATTGGCTAGCTAACAACCTGGTAACTTTACCAGTATATCCAAACATTTGGGGGCACAGAAAGAAAGGAAACAGCATAGCTTCCTCAGAAGATCAATGATCATAGCAATGAATGAATGACAGCTCTCTTGTATGTTGTCATCACAAACCTGACATTTTTAAAGAGACAGTGTACCATTTTCAATGTAATGCATCTCAATAGGAAAATTGTGCTTTTACACAATGTAGTAAACCTAATATTCAATATAATTGACTTTGTAAATACAATGACAGGTAATCAACTCAACATTTGAGCCTTTATAATACACAAATGTCTTTAGTGTTACATATTAGTTTCTAGGGCACAACATTCAAAAGTATCTAGAATTCATATAGACCTAATATAGGCTGTATCTCAATCAATTTTTAAAAAATCTCATTTTCTGGTGCTCCTAAATTTCTTGTGGTGCTCCGAACTTTTTTAAATTGGGATCACCAGTGCTAAAAAACAACAACATTTAGAGCCCTGAGTGCTAGGCTATCTGCTATTTCCAATGAGTCTCAAGCAGTCTCAGTCACGAATGAAGACCCCACTAAGTAACAGCTGTTAGCCTACGTTTTAAATGAAGACCACAGAAACCTGTGAGGCTAAACTAGGTTCAACCACAATGAGAGGCCGCAACCAAGTACAAGGAAAAAAAATTTAGGAGCACACAAAGAAAATGTAGGAGAACAATGAAAGTATTTGAGGAAGAGTTTTTATGATAAGAAATTACTAAAAGTTCATTAATAAAAAGGTTTTTTGGAGTGTTCCATGCTCAATCAAGCACAATGTACCCTCAAATATTTGAGTCACTTAGGTGAGACCAAAATGTTCTGCTGCCCCTTTAAGGGTGCGAGGTAACCATGGTAACGGGGACTCACATGTCTGTCTGTGAGACAGATTATCCTACATCTCTTCACTAGCAGTTGAGCAAGCTCAAACTAACATTTAAAAAAAAAAAAGTCACACTTTAGTAGACTTTCGGGTCAATTCGACCAACACTTATAAAATACGCACAGCACCCCAAGCACTGTCGATTAGGGTTCTAGACGATACAGCAGGTTGATGCGCGAGGTGGGATATATGGGACTCTACATAGTTATTTGTATGATTAGCTACCAGCTATGAAACAAAACGGCAGAAATACTTTGAAAATAGCTACGGCGGCACATTTTTCTAAATCACAACTCGCATATGTGCTCATACTAATAATAATAATAATAATAATATAAGGCTTGAGTGGTAGACAGTATATACCGTATACCAGGGTATTTTCAAATACCCACGGTATGATTTTAAATACTGTCAATACCAAAATAAATACCTGCAGTCAACTTGTGCACTAGGTTAATAGACAAAGCAGATTGTGTTCTTCATTTCACCTGTTGCATTATTTTTTCATTAAGAAGCCATTCCCCAAAGCAACTGATTAAGCTAGTCACATGGTATGTTTGTTTACAAGGAGCACACGGAGCAAACGGAAGCTTTCGTGACGTGCCTATCCACTGTTGTGCGGCGCAAGAGAGGCGATGAAGTTACACTTGAATTTCACTGCTAATGCTTGCCAGTTAAATATCTTAGAACTAGAAGTTTAACTATCTAAGATTTGCCATATAATTTCTCTCCAGCTCAGGGCTCCAGCTATGCATTTGGTTTGCTAACTTGTTAGCGAAGTGCCTAGCTTGCAAGATCAAGCTTATTGGTTACAGCAGAGACAATCAATCCCCTCCTGGATCAAGATCCCTGCTGCCTAATATTTGTTTTGTGCGTGCGGCAAACCTTTTGAAATAGTTGTACAACTTTATGAGCTGGGGCGTCTATCATTGCAATTTGTTTATGTTCGCTTGCACTTGTTAGTATTTAGCTAGAGTCCGCTATGAGAATTTGCTAGTACTTTGTTAGCCTTATTTAGCATATCCCTAGCTCATACTTGACTTTTTCACTTCGAACATGTATTTTTAGACGCAAATGTGAGTAACATGGTCACACTGTAGAGCACTGAGAAAGAGACCTACAGAGAAATGGAATGGAGGAATGGAATGCTAGACTACTCTAGGCACGTGAGCTGAGAAGTCATGGAGGACTGGGTCCAGTCCAGCGATTGGTGGGGTTGTTCCTGGTGGGTTTCCGGTCTGAGCCGCGCTCCAGAACAATGAGCCACAGGAAGGAGCGCTGGGGCGGAGAGGAAGTCAGATTGTGTAAAAGGGAGCGGTGTCGGTAAACACCTCTGCGGGACTCCAGTGACCAACCACTCTCCATCCACTCCCATATAGAGTGGTTGACTAGTGTGACTACGCCACATATCAACTCAATTACTTGTAGTCATGGAGGGGAAGCTTCCTTCCTCTGGTGTGTCTACCCATTCTTCTATTCCCCTCCCATCCCCCACTCAAAAGAGCACAGTGAGCGCACACACACAATATTCTTAACCGACTTGCCTGGTTAAATGTTATATTTAAATAAAGAAACTACAACCCCCTGACCCTGTAGCTAAATTATATTCCACTATACAGACTTCCAGACTACGCCACACAACTCAGGACTACATTTTCATTTATTTCTCCAAACTACAACCCCCATCATGATCTTGCTTTCGGAAAACCTCTGCTTTTCCATCTCATTTATGTCATCCACCCCTCGCTCTAATTAGGCCTATGTTACACACGCTCAAATAGGCTACCGTGTCTCTGTGCGTCAATTAGTTTTAATGCAGCTCGATCTGCCGTGGGACTTTTGACAGGGAGTAAGCGGCGGCTGTCAGCTAAACAGCCGATAACAGACTTGTCTGTCCGGCAACTTTTTCCACTTCATAAATTAACTAGGCTTCTTTTCATTTTAAAGTTTCAATTCGCTAGTCAGACAAGTCTGTATAGCTTTCTCCCACTAGAATCAATGATATGCATCTTCTAGTGATCTATTGATAGGACAGGTGCCTGTCAGTCACAAAGCACGCGACGACAGGGACACTGCTGGTTTGCAGATCTGCTGTTGGTCCCGCCTCTCTCAGTACCCAAGTTATTTTTGGGGAGGGAGAGCAAGATGCTTTTTCATCGTCTCCTGTGAGTGAATTTACACATCCCATGTAATGTAAGATGTAATGTGTTGAAATCCTATTAATTATTGTTGTGGCACTTTCATTTATTTTCTTTCGCATGTTTCACCACGGAGTCGGGGCGCATAGGCTATTTAGGCCTACTCTTCTTCGATTGATGACGAACAGCTTGTGTTGACTAGTTTATAAAAGGTGTCAAACTGACTGAATGATGTCAATCTCCTATATCCCTTTGCTATTCAGAAATCATACAACGTAGTTATACACTACCATTCAAAAGTTTGGGGTCACTTAGAAATGTCCTTGTTTTCGAAAGAAAATAATTTTTTTGTCCATTAAAATAACATCAAATTGATCAGAAATACAGTGTAGACATTGTTAATTTTGTAAATGGCTATTGTAGCTGGAAATGGCTGATTATTTATGAAATATCAGCATCCCGGAGTCACCTCTTCACTGTTGACTTTGAGTCTGGTGTTTTACAGATACTATTTAATGAAGCTGCCAGTTGAGGACCTGTGAGGCGCCTGTTTCTCACACTAGACACGAACGTATTGGTCCTCTTGCTCAGTTGTGTACCGGGGCCTCCCACTCCTCTTTCTCTTCTGGTTAGAGACAGTTTGCGCTGTTCTGTGACGCGAGTAGTACACAGCGTTGTACGAGCTTCAGTTTCTTGGCAATTTCTCACATGGAATAGCCTTCATTTCTCAGAACAAGAATAGACTGACGAGTTTCAGAAGAAAGTTGTTTGTTTCTTACCATTTTGAGCCTGTAATCGAACCCACAATTGCTGATGCTCCAGATACTCAACTAGTCTCAAGAAGGCCAGTTTTATTGCTTCTTTAAATCAGCAAAACAGTTTTCAGCTGTACTAACATAATTGCAAAAGGGTTTTCTAATGATCAATTAGCCTTTAAAATGATTAGCAAACACAACGTGCCATTGGAACACAGGACTGATGGTTGCTGATAATGGGCCTCTGTACGCCTATGTAGATATTCCATAAAAAATCTGCCGTTTCCAGCTACAATAGCCATTTACAACATTAACAATGTCTACACTGTATTTCTGATCAATTTGATGTTATTTTAACAAGGACATTTCTAAGTGACCCCAAACTTTTGAACGGTAGTGTATGTCCATGGTATCACATCGGGACAAGTAAACCAAAAATCTTGTTTGTATTTTCCTAGGATTCGAAGCCCATGTTGAGACTATTGACAGGGTAGGAATCAAAGTGTTGGTCAGTGTTTCCATGCAACCCTAATTTAGATGTTACATTACATGTTTTCTTACATCATGTTGCTAGCTAGCTAGACAACATATTCATTCCTCGTCTATTCCTCTCTGATAAGATACCGTTGCACAAGCATGCTTATCTAGGCCTACACCAGCACCAGGCAGTATTAGCTAGCTAGCTACGTTTGCTCAGACTCTTAGTAAACTCAGCAAAAAAAGAAACGTCCTTTCACTGTCAACTGCGTTTATTTTCAGCAAACTTAACATGTGTAAATATTTGTATGAACATAACAAGATTCAACAACTGAGACATAAACTGAACAAGTTCCACAGACATGTGACGAACAGAAACGGAATAATGTGTCTCTGAACAAATGGGGGGGGGGGGGGGGGGGTCAAAATCAAAAGTAACAGTCAGTATCTGGTGTGGTCACCAGCTGCATTAAGTACCGCAGTGCATCTCCTCCTCATGGACTGCACCAGATTTGCCAGTTCTTGCTGTGAGATGTTACCCCACTCTTCCACCAAGGCACCTGCAAGTTCCCGGACATTTCTGGAGGGAATTGCCCTAGCCCTCACCCTCCGATCCAACAGGTCCCAGACGTGCTCAATGGGATTGAGATCCGGGCTCTTCGGTGGCCTTGGCAGAACACTGACATTCCTGTCTTGCAGGAAATCATGCACAGAATTGTGGCAAGTCATATATCTTTCAGTAAAACTGAAAATATGACTTTAATCTCAAGAGAAGACACGTTTAATGTTAAAAAAGGTTATCTTACTTAGAAAATAGGCCTGATCATATAGGCATTTTAACATTTTAGTAATTTAGCAGACACTCTTATCCAGAGCAACTTACACTAGTGAGTGCATACATTGTCGTACTGGTCCCCCATGGGAATCTAACCCACAACCCTGGTATTGCAAGCACCATGCTCTACCAACTGAGACACACGGGACCCTAGGCCTAGACGATATCCAAAACAACTAACATTTTCAGTTATTTTAATTGTAAAGTAATGTCTTTCTACTCAATACCACAAGTCTTTGAAAGTATTCAATAATTTAGCTGTGTATTTTTTGGATGGAATGAAGGTATTAGAATGTATTAGAGGCCACCAAAATAAAACTCGTTCTGCATGCACCCCGGACAAACTCCCAACCCGGAACTCCCTGTATTTACGGAAAACACTGGAGTAAATATCAAAAGACTGGTGCCATATCAATCCTGACATGGGAACTGATGGACTGGTGGACCATGTCTATCAGAGCTTAGTGAGAATGTAATGTGCAGATGGATCCATATCAGGAATCTATAATAGACAGCACTAGTAGATCTATAGTTCTATTATAATGGACACATGTGTGTGCGTGAGTTTTGATGCCCCTCTATGGTTGTGACGCCACTATAAAATACATTTTTGACAAACTTGATATTCGCGTAGGCTCTAAACCATTATGCCTGCATATGTCTACATGAGGAGATGCCTAAATCTGCCACTATCTGGGGGAAATCCAGCTCAATCTTATTTATCACTGCCAAATTAGTCAAGACCACACCTTTTGAAAGAGAAGAAAACTAGTCAAAATACTGGCAGCAGTGGTGATATGGCATACAGCGATCACTGACACAAACTGTGACCCCAAACAGGAAAATAGAAGCTCTTTGGTGACGAGATTTAAAGATACCCCCCACATAGGCTAGCTTTAAAAGGTTTAATAACTAACTGAAGATACATGTTGTAGAAACAATACTGAATGAGCCATAGCCCACTAATACCATTCCAATACACTGTCAGGACTACAGTGACACCATTTAGTCATAAAGTCTTCCTTCGAAGAGAAGAACTACGAGAAACATGCTCCAACACCTATTCAGAGGAGCCATTGTGTCAAAACTAAGACAGTAGCACTTTGACAGTAAGGAAAAGGCTGGGATAAGGGTTTGTGTGTACATTGTGTGGAGCACACATAAACACTGACAAAGTCTTGTCTCAATGCCCCTCTGTTCAAATAAGTATGGAGCCAACAAGTCCCCATCACACCCTCTCTCTCCCTCTCGCTCTGCCTTGGAGAGTGAGGTTTCTCACTAATGGCGTGTTGGTTATTTGAGTGAGTGGTGCGAGGCACAAGCCATATTAGGGCCAGTGCTAAAACACGATGCTACACCATAAGGGCCCCGAGGAGAGGAAAAAAACGAACCCATTAAATGTATGAGTCTCACCTCTCACACGCACGCACACGCACACACACACACACACTGCATCAAAGAGAATAGCCTAAAGGCCTGTGTGTGTCCGATATAGCCTATCCAGCCTATTCAAACAGCCCAGCAACTAGCAGCAAGCCTCCTGGGCTTATGACTAATCCATGTGCAAAAGGCTGGAAAAAGGCTAGGTCAACTATTTCTATTCCATAGTAAGGCTGAAGTACTCTCTCTCCCCTTTCCAGCAAGTTCCCAATAAAGTATAATTATTGGATTGAATGTTTCCAAGTGCAGTGGGCGTATCAGGCATAGATGTGTGTACGCCTACATAAAATCCATGTAAAAAGGTACTTTTGAAGACAGATCCTTTTGAGGGTCTTTTTGTACACTTGAATGCTGTATAACTATCTGTGACTGTATCTAGGCCCAGAGGTTGCAAATGTTCATCCATCTATTTGTATGGATCAGATCTGGGTCGAGGTCTCATTATGGACAGTTGGGATGGGGGGGATTTACTTGGCATGCCACCAGCTCAGTGGACCAGTAGGGGAGAGTGGGGTAAGTTTAGCAATTTTTTACATTCAGCATCACTCCATCAAGGGAAATATGGTATTCTTTCTAACAAAGATATCTACATATATTTCAGGACATTGTGTATCCCTGGAAATAAATCAGAAT